AAACTCAGACTGTGCTTTACAATGTTCAGTTTGCATCAAAAAAACCCCTGTAAATGTTTTTTTCTTGCTGTAGCTTGTTCACATCCATATATGTGGAATATTATGTAGGTTAATGGGTTATAAACACTGCAAAAGGCTTTATAGAAGTTACCACACTCAAAGGGGGAATGGATCAGAGGGAAACCTCTCCACTGAATGTATTGGAGGGGGACAAACTTCTAGTGAATGGCAATGTTTGAAGTCAGGCTGAACAGAGAAAATGAGAGTAACTTGGTATTTTACCAGTAAATTGCAACCTTCCCCTTCTCGTGACAGTCCAGTGTTTCCTGGTTTTGCAGTTTATTTCTGTAGAGAAGGTGGAAGACTAACCTGCAAAACTGGGGCAGGGATTTCTTGGAACGTGGGGAGAGATCCTCCTGGTCACTTTGAAATAATCTACACACCTCCAAAGGAAAATGCAATTTCAAGTGTATTTGCCATAGATTTAAATTTATGATCATAGTGGCAGGCAAGAAACTAATTCCACCCTGCTCTGACCTTCTGCTTTCCCCAGTGTTGCAGTGTTACCTGGTTACACTTCTGAGGTTTCTGGTAACTTTTTAAAATACATGTCTGATTGTGCTTTAAACATAATAAAGGTACTCGACCTCAATGCCTCATTATACATTTAAAGCAAGCAAAAGGCTTTTTGGGTCCATCTTTGATGTTTCCCTTTGTGTTTTTTTCTCTTCAGGGCCGAGATGGAAGGAAGAATGTTATTCCTCATGTTCTGTCTATGAATGGAAACCTGGACCGAGGAGTCTTGGCCTATCTCTTTGATTCCCTACAGCTGGCTGAGAATCCATTAACAACAAAGAAAAATTCACAGAGAAAGGTAACTTTCTGTAGAAAGTGTAACAAAAGTCTAAGTACAAAAGCCACAGACAATATGGTAAATTCAAGCATGGAAATGTCTCCTTTTTCCACCTGGCCATCCTCTTCCCTTCCCAAATGGATGCAGACTGACCGTTCTCACTGGTAGCACCAGGCTGGCCCCATGGCACTGCCCAGCAGGCCTTGTCACCCACATAAGCATTGTTTTCTCTCACTCTGAGGTTCCCTTTCCTGTTTTACCTTTTTCTCTGATGGGCAGGCAGGCTCTTGCCGTGCAAGCAGTGAAGGAGTTAAGAGAAGTTGGAATGTAGCTGCAGTTTGTGGAAAAGAGGAATTTGTCTCTTCCAGCAGCATTTGAAGGTGGCTGAGAAGAGCAGAAAAAGTGGGTCACAGGTGGTAGTGGGGCATCTTCCCAAGGACCATGGTTATTCCCACTTTTACCCTGTTTCTCTGCAGTTTGAGTGCTGGCTGGCAGACAGGGCTTGTCACCCAAACAGCTGTTTGTTCTTTAAGAACAGGCAGTAGACTGGATGGGAACTGTCTGCTGGGCTGTCTCTGATCACTGGCTCCGTTCAAGATGATGGAGCTCTGCTAACAAATCTTCATTTCTTTCCTGGGGCTCAGCCAAAATGGAGTAATTTCTGCCCTGTGAGTCTAGCTGGAGTATGAGTGTGCTAGTTATATAAAATACAGTTTGCTGCTAGTTCAGGAATTTGTGCTATGAGAAAATTTTTACCTGTTTAGAGTCTTAATTTCAGTTAAAAAACCTTACTATTTCCTAGTTCTGTAGAATTGTGTGCTAAACAAATTTGGTAATCTGTTGCTTTTTTAAAATTTACAAGGTACTTAAGCTACATCCTTGTTTAGCACCTCTTAAAGTGGCCTTGGACGTAGGAAAAGGTCCAACAACAGAGCTGAGACAGGTATGTTGTAGGACAGTATTTTAATTTTGAACATTGAATCTCCATGTTACAGTTCAGATGGGGTTTGTGTTGGGGAAAATCTTTCTGCTGCTTTGATTCCTGCTGTGCAGCTTGTGAGTCACAGCCAAAGAAGTTCACTGCAGGCAGTTTTATATGTGGACACGCTGCTTTTGGTGCTGTTAATAGACCTGATACTTGTTCCATGCAACATTAAAGAAAATAAATAACACAGTCCCTCCCAGCTTCTTAATATTTCAGAATTATCTTAACACATGGGTTGCATCTTCAGAAGGATTTCTTAAAAGTTTTTATGTCAGTCAGTCATTGTCAGTCCTCACAGAAAGGAGCAAACTTACACTGTTTTTAAACAGAAATGGAGATTTAATTGCCAGGCTGCTTTCCATTTGGAGATTATTTCAGCCAGCAAATTAACACCAGCTAGGAATGTTAATACCACACATGTTAGAGTTCTAATGGTTTCTTTGTAGAGTCTCAGACCCTCAAAGTCTGTCTTTTAACTTTTGTTTTTAAATGATCACAGGTTTGTCAAGGACTGTTCAATGAACTGACAGAAAACAGAATTTCTGTGTGGCCAGGTTATCTTGAAACTGTGCCAGTGTCTCTGGAACAGCTTTATACAAAGTAAGGAGAAACAATCTTTGGTAAATTAAAGTATGAAGGTGAAAGATGACTTTCTGTGGACTAGTGCAAATATGCCTGATTTCAGTAAGAAGTCATTGGGTGCAGTGACCACATGACTGAAGGCGTTGATCCCAAACTACAGACTTGGATTTGAGTAGTTTTATTATGAAAAGCATATTGTTCATTTTTTAAATTAAGTATAAGCCTTTCATGTGTTATTGTTATTTCCCTGGAAGTGTGAAATGCCTTTTAGAGACTCTCCTATTGAAAATAAATTTCTTCACATGAGTCAGAAGCTCTCAGAACTGTTTCCCACCTTCACCCCCCATTTTTGCATCTGCTCTGGTTCTGTGTTTCATTCTTAAGTACTGTTTCAAGTAGCACACTGTGTCTAGTTTTAAAAGTTCTTCCAAATCTGGAACCATTACTGTCAGTGCATGTGATGGAATTATTTGTGGATATAAAACCAGCTATTCCATTTGGGGGCTTCATGTATGAGTTGTTTATCAGGAGTGAATTTGGGGCATATGGCTGCTCATGTCAGTGGATCTTGAGCATACTGGTGAATGTTTCTTAGAGAAAATAAATACAACTATTTGTTCATGTGCAGTAGTATTCAAAGTAAGTCAGATAAATTCTACTTCTGCAAAAATATTCCTGTAATAGGTCACTAAATAACATTCTTTTATGTACTAAGGTAGCTAAATAATTTAAAGAAATGTAATCAGGAAAGCAAGGAATGGCAACAAGAAAACTGGTGTCGTCATGCTGGACTTAGTGCAGTACAGCAAAAATAAATATTTACAGCTTGTGGTCATTGGCACATAATTTATCTGATTTTTTCCACACACCAAAAGCAGTAACAGGGGGACTCTTTTCTTTTCAGGTACGATGAGATGAGCATTCTCTTCATGATCTTGATAACTGATGCCACTCTGGAGAACGGGGTGGTCCAGCTGAGGAGCAGAGACACCACCATGAAGGAAATGATGCACATTTCTAGGCTGAAGGACTTTCTAACTAAATATGTGACGTCAGCCAAAAACGTGTAAGCTGGAATTCACTGAATAAAGGGATTTTCTTAAACCTCTCTGCCTGGACGGGTTTCAGCGTTGTCATGGTCTCGGTGGTTTCTCTGCAAATAGCTCTGCTAAAGTTTGGTGGTGCATCTGTTTGCTGCCAAGTCTAGACCATCCAGGTCTTCCAGGTTTCCTTGGAAAAAGGCAAGAGATGCAACTTGTCCTTGGTTAGCAGGGATAACCATATCCTCATTCATGTCTCTACTGTCAGGTAAAAGTACTCCATCCTAAGCTAAAAATTCAGCTTTCATCTGTATTGGTAACACAATTATGATCTCTGCTGGAAAATGGGATTTTATATAAAAGACTTCCAGATCTTAAACGTTTTAATAAATCAGTATTTTTGTACTATCTGTTTGTAGGAATGTGTTTTAATCACATTGGCCCCAGTTCTTCAACATTCAAGCTATTTCATCTTGCACTTGATAAACATAAAAATCAGAAGTAAGTTATCAAGAGTAACAGAGGAGTAGATTTAAATAAATTGCAAAGGTTTTTACAAGTATTTTTTGTGGAAAGAAAAAGTCTTGCGTATATGAAATGCTGGAAAAAGCCTAATGTGTGATCACATTTTTCCTGCTGAGCATAGTGGTTAAAATCAGATACAAGAGTTTGCAGAGATACAGAATTGAGTGTTTCTGATCTTCTGGAGATTTACAACATGTTCAGAGCTTGTTGAGTCACTGTGTAAAGTGCTTAAAGTGTGTGCAACAAGGCACATGGCCTCTGTTAGTCATCAGTGTCATGAAACACAGAACTTGCCTTAAAATTTTCTTCTTAACTAAAAATGAGTTATTTGTAACAATGATTGCTACATAGTGTAATTATGTTAGATATAGTCAGCATAGTTAGATAAGGTCAGCATAGTGTGACTTGTTAAACCTGTGGAATTCTAAATTAGCTGTGGAATGATATTAGAACAACCCAGGATTATCTAAGAACGGCCTGTAGCAGGATGCAGAATTTGTTTTGGAATTAGCTGTTCCAAAAGTTAATTTTGACATCCTATCCCTACCCTGAGAGCTGAAATAATGTAGAACTGAGAAATTCCCATCCTTACAGGTACTGAGGCCCAACACACATCCTCCAGTGTGTGCCTAAGAGGACACACTTGGGTTTGTATGGTTTTTTTAATTTATACTGAACTAAAGCCTTTTGATTATCTTATGTCTGCACACAATCCAGTTTCTACTTTAGGAGAATTGTTAACTGTACAGGAACTTGGGGCTGGGTGAAAGCTTTAACTAATTTATTCCTTTCTGTTTATTCATCAAATACCAGTAATGCCAGACTATATATTGTGCCCAGCAGGATGTCATACCTGGCAGTGATTGCATTGCTTTGGTGTGGCTTTTATGGTGCTGTTTGGGCAATAAGCTGCTGTTTATCTTAATGGAATTGCTGTTCAGTATTTCCAGTGGTTATCTGTTCTGCTTTTTCTCTTAAGTTGAGGGAGATTTTGCTTTTATCTGTCTACAAACTGCCTAGGCCAGGAAACTGGTATCTGAATATCATCTCTTTCTGTGAAACTTGCTGGTACTTATCACATTTGGGGACTGAAAAATTCTTTAAAAACATGTGATTAAGTTATCCACAAAAGAGATCATACCTGGTACTCAGTTTCTGATGAGGACCCTTGAATAGACTGTAGTACATTCCCTCTTTCCTGCTAAAAGCCAGAATAGCACAATTCATAACTGCTTTTTTCATACAGATACCCAGTAGAAGAATTAACATTACATCAGCAGTGTGGTTACTAATAACATCTGCATAGTTTCATAGTGAGGCTGTTGAGTTTTTGGGTCATAGGATAGTTGTCTTCTTTTTCTTTTTTCCCCTCTCAAAAGGTCTTAAAGTTACTTTAATTTCTCCATGGTAACTAAGCAATTTCATAAGCAACTACAACTATCTAAGCCCTGCCTCCACCCAGCAAAGTCCCCTCAAAACATGGTTGTGAGCATCAAATATTCCAATATTATAGCTTGAGGTTTTCACCTTTTTCATCTTCTCTTCTAATAACAGAAAAGTTGATGTATTCTTCTTCTGGCTTAACAGGCTCTGGATTAAAGATGGTGAACAGCAGTTAATTACAAGCAACTAGATCAGACTTTTTTTTTTTCTATAATCTTGAAATAAAGCAGTGAGATTCTATAGTGAATATAAATCCTGTTTTGTGTAGCATTCCCGGGCCTTATCAGAGCTCTTGTCCCTGTCCTTGCAGGCTGTGGGTGGGATGCTGAGTGATCCCTGGCACGAGCAGCTGCACAGCAGGGCAGTGAGGACCTTACCTGTGTACTGCAGGATCAGGAAGGCAGGTTAGTTTGGAGAGAATTACTCCATTTTGATATTCAGAAATGGGAAACATAATGCCCTTGCTATTGGTTTGGTTTGGGGGTTTATTTTGCCCCTTCAAAAGAGCCATTCACATACAGAGCAAATATAGAAAACTCCCAAGTTCAGAGCATTGTGGCTATTGGGGAATATCTTTGTTATTGTGTATTTTCTGCAGCTGAAGCAGCACAATATCTTAAGTCAGTTGCTTTGTTGGCACTTCATAATTTAAGTTTGAACTGAGTCTTGTCAAACTTCAGAAACATGGAATAAAGAGCAGAAGCACTGAACAATTTTGAACAGAATGCAGGAGCTACGTAAGTTTATTTTGCTACAACTCCATATAGCCCTTTGTTGGCTCTTAGTAAATACATGGAACCTCGTTTCATTTAAGCAGCTGCAGTTTTGGCTGCATGGCTGACAGGTGATGCCAAATATGGATTCTGAGGGAATCCATATATGAGGCTCCTGCAGTGCCTGAAGAACTGTGCCCATACCATCCTGACTGCAGGGGGGTGACATGAACTTACCAATCTCTGCATATATGACATCATTTTCAGTCTCCTCCACATTCACTGTTGATGTAAAGCCAGTTGAGGGCCTGGTAGACTTATATTTTTCTGCAAATTGTAAAAGAAAAACACATGTGTGTATACCTGTATCAGTTTTTCTTAAGAGGGAAGTAAACAGTTTCATGATGTTTTTTGAATATTTGGAGAGCTCAGATAATCTTATTTTCATGATAAATATTGCTCTTTAACCAAGGGCATTTTAATAGATTTTAACAGATTTCCCTTTCCAATGAGATCTAATTCCTTCCAGTGTTTCTGTGTCTTACATTAGATGTTGCTTTGTTACTCCCATCCCAGACCTGCCATCCAAAACAGGGTAGAACTCTTGCCTTGTCAATGTTAAGTTGCCAGTGCTGGTTGAGAGGAGACTTGACAACATCCTAAATCACCAAGAGCTACTCTGCTGGTAAGGTGACGTTTACACACTAAAGTGTATTGACAACATAAATGAAAATGAAAGAGACATTTAGATAACTCACTTGCTTTATATGAAGGAATTATGAAAAATGGAATTGCCAGAGCAAATCCTATTATGAGTAGTAGCAGGATCAGCCCAAGAGAAATTATCAGGGCCTGAGAATGGCTTCTCTCTTCTGCCAAAAAGAAGAAAAAGAAAGTGTTTATGCAATGAAATGTTTTGTATTTTAAGTATTTTCTGTGCGTTAAAATCAAGGTCTTTGGAATTTCTTTCAGCTTTTGGATTAACTGTGGTTAATGTAAGTGCTCAGGAGAGTCCCAAGGGCACTGTGCCCCAGCTTGCTGGTGCCAGGAGGCTCTTTCCTAGGACCAGAGAGACAAATAAAACCAGACCCTCCCCAAGGTGGACCAGGGGTCTCTTGTAAAAGTGAGTCTTTTACAGTCATTCTTCATGGGCACTTCAACTTCTCCTATCTAGGCTGCGTGGAATTCTGTGGGTTTGCATGCATTTGAAAAACTAAAATTATTTTTTTGTCGTAAAAAATTATATTTTGAACATGATATTGCAGGAACAAAATATCTAGCTAAAAAACTTGGATCATGACAGCATTCTGAACTTTATATGGTCCCTGCTTGTCAGTGGTAACTCTTTTATGCTTACCTGCTAATGTGAAGTTGAAACTGTTGCTGTATTTCATACTGCTGGGAAAACTATTATTAGCTTTGCATTTATAGGTTCCAGAGTCAGTAGAGGAATTGACAAAGAGAAAAATCACAGCTGCTTCCCTCTCATGCATCATCATTGGGGGAGAGATACTTTGTTTTCCCTTGAAGAATATGTAAGTGATGGGAAGAGATCCATTCTCGGAGAAACAAGACAGGGTCACGTTCTGGCCTTTCGTTGTGTGAGAGGTGGGTGAGCTCAGCACTGGTTTGGAAATTGGCTCTGACAAAAGAAAACTGAAAAGGCTCAATCACTGAGTACAGGACAAGCTCCAAGCAAGACTCAGAGTTAAGCAGCAAAATGAGGTGAGCATCGAGGATGGAGGGTTTGGTGAGCCAGGGCAGGGCAGCACTGCTGACTCCTGAGGGAATAACAGCCATCTGCAGTAAAGGTCAGCTCCTCAAGCAAGACTGTGCCCCTAAAATAAAGAGTGCTGGGAAGGTGCCCAGCCAGACATACCTATAAGGGTGAAGTTGAGGCTGTTGCTGTATTTTCCATCACTGGAGGTGTTGTGCTCAGCTTTGCATTTGTAGGGACCCAGGTCGCTGGCAGAGCTGATAGTCAAGGTAAACAATGCAGGGGTCGAGTCTGACCTGTTCAAAGAGGATACCTGCTGGTTGTGTTTGAACAAGGTGTATCTGACAGGTGGAGGTCCAGAGGCAGAGCAGCAGCAGAGGGTCACGTTCTGGTTCATCACCACGTTCAAACTCGTCTTAACCAGTACGAGCTTGGGGTTGGACAGGATCCCTGGAAAGGAGAAACTTCTGAGTGAGTTGACTGCACCTATCACCCAAAAAACTCCCAGATTTTTCCCCAAATATGTTGAGAACCAAGCTATATTTATTTCTGTTGAAATAGGGCATTGTATAATTTTTTCCACCTCCAATAGCAGGCAACTCAAGTTCATACTTTTTAAAACCCGTATGCAGCTTCACACATGACAAAAAGTGCATGTCTTCATGCAAAAGAAGGCACAGCCACACAAAGCCCACAGATGTGTCCAGAAGAACCAACAAAAATACTTTTGAACTACAGCTGCAATTAAAATAATAGAAGTACAAAAGATAAATCAAACATTAGGAGTGTTAGTGGTAGGAGAGAATAACCTTATATTCTATATGAAAGGTAGCATGTGAACCTGAAAGCAAAAGCAGTATTTTATTTGTGCCTGTGTGTAAAAAGGCAGAATTAACCTTGTGTAAGCAGATTGAACTTTTGAATAGTAGCAGCGACCTTGATGGTCTATCAAATTTGTTTCCTTTTATGATATTATACAAATAAATCTGCAGTAAAAACTTGTCTTTTCATAGAAAATGGTACTAAACTACTCATAACTAAAATAACAACATTTCTAGTGGGAAAAAATATTTTAACAACTTAAAGCAATTTTGACTGTACAGACAGGTCAGCAAAGAGACTGTTAACTTCATATAGAAACTTGTAAACTGCCTCACTGCACAGACAGGCAAAAGATTTAATTATACATGAACTTTTCAGACATTTTTAAATCACTTCCCTGCTTTTTAGTTAACAGTCAATTGCAGCACATATCTCAAAATCAACAAAAGTGAACTTACCTTTACCACTTGCAGTAGTTTTCTGTATCTGCTGAGACATTTGAGCTAAGAGAAGAAAAAGAAAAGCTTTCAGGTGAGAAACAGTGGTTCTGGTTTAGAAAGATTTGGAGTAGGAAAGAAGCATGTCCTTGGCTTACGGTAGGAAAACAGCAGAATTGTGAGAAAAAACATTTTCTTGTACTGGGCAAGAGAGCTGGTGGAGTTACATGACAGATCTTTCTTTCAAAAGAGATCGAGGAGTGGCTCCAGGGCTTGAGGAAGTTCTATATATGGAAACAGTGCTGATCTCTACTGATGTTTCTGTGAAGAGTTTTTTGTCATGTTCCATGCACATTTAGCCTGTGGCAGGCAGGGTAGTGACAGAGTGAGGAGCAGCAGTTTGGGATGCAGGTAAATGTTGCCTAGAGTTGTTCTAGGACAAAATCAGCAGTTTTCCATGTGAGTTGGGTGGTAGAACCATGCTGCCATGTATGGAATCATAGAATCACTGAGGTTGGAAGAGAACTCTCAGATCATTGAGTCTGACTATTGCCAGGTCCACCACTAAACCATGTCCCCAAGTGCCACATCACACCCCTCCAGGGTTGGTGATCCCACCACTTCATGGGACAGCCTGGGCTTAACAGCTTTTCCCGTGAAGAAATTTTTCCTAATATCCAGTATAAACCTCCGCTGGCACAACTTGAGGCTGTTTCCTCTTGTCCTATCACTTGTTACTAGGGAGAAGAGACCAACCCCCATCTGGCTACAGCCTCCTTTGGGTAGTTTTTCTGGTACTGTTCTTAAAAGGGAATGAGATCAATCACTGATCCGTATCAAAAGGTCACATGTTTGCCACAGATAGTGCAAGTGATCATATGGCTGAGACTAAGGAAGTATGTGGTACTGAGTGTTTTTTAGCAGCAATATAATTAAAAACAGCAGTCCAGAAAAAAGAGAGTATCAAATTTAGAGAAGTTTTAGGATGCTAATAAATATTTATAGCTAGCCAGCATGTTTGGAAAATATTTTGGTCAAACTTCAAATGTGAACCCGTGAGGAAGTGAGACCTTGTATTAGATGCTACGGATCTCATAAAGAACTTGAGTTCAACAGCACTGCATAAACAAACTTGATGACTAATTTGATGAGCTAATCCGTAATACAAATTAGTCTTGGCAAGTAGATGTTCTTTCCTTGTCATCCTCTGGACAAAGTAAGTGTAATCGTCAGCCATACACGGGCAGTGGCTTCTGAGGGGCTCCAGGCCCTGGTGTATATGAGGAGGTGATTGCTCACACAGAACATGCCTTAAAAGAGTTGTTGTGATCCTCATCTTATTTCCTATTTCTTAGTTTCCAGTCTCTGAAGGCAGCAAGGCAGTCTGGAGGTGTAATACAGGATCCCTCTCAAATCCTCGGCTGTTGCAGCATTGCAAAACTTCCTCACAGAATGTGTGTGCACTTCCTTCCTCCTTGTTTTTCTTTTCTTTTTAATTTTAGGGGTGGAGGGGATTTGTTTTGGTTTTTTTATTTTCTTCTAAGACAATCTCCACCCTCCCCTCACAAATGTTTCTGGTTTGGAAACGCTGACAGCAAACCACAAGGGCGGAACATCTTTTCACAGCTGTCAGGAAGCATGTGTGAAAATGCAGCTGTTGGGGGAAGAACTGTTGGGGTGTTTGTGCATTTTCCTGTTGTGGGAGCCTGTTCTTGTCAGAAACCCACACACACAGTCCCTGAGACACTGGCGGCCCGGGATGGTGTCCCCTCAGAGATGGGGGTGTCCCCTCAGAGGCCCTGGAGGTGCTCACCCACCACCCAATGCTTTTCTCTTTCTAAGAAGCTGCTTCATGTTGTGTATGGGCAATGGGGAATGGTTACAGAGCAAATGAGCTGTGAATTTGGCCGTGCCTTTCAAAAAATAAAAGTCTGGTAGTCACCAGGATCTCTCATCTACAGCAGCTTCAGTGGTGTTTGTGCAGGTTCCCTCAGGATGCACAGCCTGGGTGTCCAAAGAGGACGAGTCCAAAGGCCTGGTTTCTGTTTGGAATTGAGTTTACTTCCATGCTGATTGTTTTTCTGGCAGGGCTGACTGTTGACTTTGGACTAAGGTGATGTTGCTTTGTTCAGCATGAACACAGAGAGTTTTATGCCAACAGTAAGATATTGTGTAAGCTCAGAGTTCCCTTTTTATTAGATGTACAAATTTTCTGCCTGCAATTAATGTGGCTGTACATGTAAGAAGAACTGAATAAATTTAGCAAAGAGTAATGAACATGACATTACAGAACAGAAGCCATCCAGCCAAAACAAGTAAGTTAAAAAGTCAGAAAGGGAAATATGTATCACTTGATGCTGTGACAATATTCTGCCTCAAGCGAGCAGGTGGAAGAGAATAAAACCCAAACTGAGCTTTCATTCACAAGGTCAGTGAAGACTTGAGAATGTAAATAGTGTGATAGTGTTCTGTAGTAAGGCTGTGAAAGCTTCACACTGTGTCTGTTCTATCACAGGCTTCCAGGGAAATTTGCATTTTTCAGCAGAATTATGAAAGTTATTCCCAGCCCCAGTTTCTCATCCTGAGAGGTTCTGGAGGAGCATCTGCTACAGTAGATATCTGCAGAAGGTTTGCTAGAAATCACCATGTACTGACAGCTATGTCTGGTGATGAATTAAATTAAGGCTCTGTTTTGTCTGCAGAAAGGTTTTAGTGAAATAGCTTGATCCTCACTGAATACCGTATTTTTACACTCCTGTAAAAATAGCTGTGGGAGCCAATCTGCTGTTTATTTTAACTACTTGATGTTTGTGAGAGGGTTGTTTTTTCTGGAGGACAATTAAGAGTAGAAGAGGAAATTATCTCTTCTATATGGATATTTAAGGTAGCTTTAAATTTCTTGCAGTGATGCTCAGGTTCTGAATGAGAATTTTGTTGTAGTGACTGGTTTTCAATGAACTGCAGGTTGCAAAGGACATGTCAGCAGGTGAAAGGAACTTTTGGGCACCCAGTTTGATAACCTAGCAGCTGCTACATCTCCCAGAGATGAAATGTGGTATGTCTGTCCTCTGAATCCTCTCCCAAAACTGGAAAAAGAAAGAAAGAATTTGGATGAGACATGGAAAACTGGGGTTACTAATACATTTCTCATGGGATAAATTCAGACATCACTGTATGAAGAGTGTTCCAGAGAAACGTGTTCAGGAATTGCTATAAGAGTGCTGTGGTTGAAAAATATGGAGTACTCTCTTAGTCAGCTTAATCAGCCTTCTTTACAAACTCATAGTTGTAATTTTAACTTTTTTCTGCTGCCTAACCTCTGATAAAAGTTAACTTTTTTTTTTTCCTTAGAAAACATACTGAATGAAAAGAAAAATGCTAAAAAAAAATTAAATCTGCCAGGACTCTTATCTGGTTTTCATCCCTTTTCAAACCTCTGTTGGTGTACTCTGAGGTGTCTCTGAGGACCATCTGCCCCTCTGTGCAGTTTAACCAGCAGTTACATGAGTGGCAGCACTGGCCGTGTGTGGGCAGCTGCTGCAGGTAAGGAGCAGATCATTCTGCCTCTTGGTTTGTGTTAACTCTGCTGAAAGATTTTCTGTCAACTTGGACCAGCTTGTTGAGTCACTACCAACTGAATTATACTTATGAAACCTATGTGGAATAATTCTTGGAGAATCACCAAGGAGAAATATTTCCAGGTTAATTCCCTCTCCAGCCAGAAGTTTCTGATCTCTTCTCTGTCACTGTCCATCCTCTGTGAGGGATATTCCTGCAGAGCTCGAAGCTGGTTTTCAGCTGCATCCAGAAATGCTGGACGTTCAACAAAACAAGTGCAAATCCTGGTGTAGTGCCAGGGAAGGGCAGTGTGTGACAGTGACCCAGGCTGTGTTGTGTGTTTCTAAACGGAGGAATTTGTTAATGCAGGAGTGGACAGCGGTTAAAAATGCCCTCGAGGAGCTGAGTCACTCACAAGCTGCTGCCACAAGGAAAGGTCAAGGTGGTATCACAGGCCACAAAAATAATGGAATCATAAATTGATTTCACATCTCTGAAAGAAGGAATTTCTCTCCTTTTATCCAACTGATGAGGTACGTGGATGTTTGTGTTACATGAAATACAAGTCAAGGTTAGATTTCTAGTGTTCTTCTCAATGTTGCACCGTATCAGTAAGGAAGCATAAAACCAAATAGCAATAATTAGCTCCTGTTGTATTAAGAAGAAAAATTCCAGTGTGAAAGCCTCAGTGACATTCTGTCATTATCAACTCCCTGGTTCCTTCGGTTGCTTTTCCAGGTTTATGTTGCCATTTGGAGGAGGTGTTGGATACCAGTAATCACATGTTTAATTGCACTTCACTGCCATGCTCATCTCCCAGCAGATGGTACCATTGTGAAATGCAATTTATTCCCAGATGCACAAACTGGCAATCCAGAGTTTCTGTAAATTGTAGAACTTCCAGACTCCTGGAAAAAAAAGGCAGGGTTAATTTCTTTCATGTACTCTGTAAATATTCAAATCCATGGAGGAAAATTAATTTTTAATTCTTCTCTGGGGAGGTATAAAGAGACACTTTAAAAAAAAAAGACTAATGATGCAAGTGTCCCACATTCAAGACAGAACAGCGTGCCCTGAAAATATATGTAGAAAGAACTTGTTTCATTCACAGTTCACCAGGGGTTTGTCCAGACTTGTGTAAACAGCAATGTTTGTCATAGTTCTATTATCTATGAGTATACTGAAACAGGAATTTAGAATTGAGCAAAACAGCTCAAACAGCTCAAAATTGAGCAAAACAGCTGCAAGAAATCAAAATAATTTAATGATTATCTGTGTCAGGAATTGGAGGATTAGAAATCAGAGCTGCTTTTTAGTTACTGGAAAACTTGTGTTGACTTCAGTATAGATGGACCCAGACCTCTGAATTTTTCTAAATTTTAAAATAAAATTTAGAAAAAACCCCAAACATTTGTAGATACACCTCTGTAGCAATTAACTATTTTTGAAATCAGTGAACTTACACAAGAAATCATGTATAAAGGATGAGATTTCTGACCCCAGAAAAGTTTTTATCGGTGAGATAGAAATTCTTTTCTGAAGAAAGTGAAACTGCCCTCAGGAACAGGCATTTGAGAGCAGGAGGCAGAGTTGAGAGGCCCCAGAATTGGCTGGACTCGGTGTGTGCTGTGTGAGGAAGTGAGATGTCAGTGCTGAGCACCAGCACCGCGGCTGCTCTTTGCTGTCACGCCAGCCCGGAGAGCACATGGAAACAAACAGCTGGAATGGGCTGGGAACTCCGAGCTCCCTTTCCTGTCATAAGGGATTGCCTGAAAACACTCTATTTGCAGAGGGAAAAATTTGAAAATCTTATTCAGCATTTTTCCCTTAGTTAGCAAAATAGGCTTTGCCTCTGTTTCAGCGGAGCTCTGTTCAGATGCCAGAGCTGAGGGCTCTTAGGAAATGTCAGATGTAAGCAAGCAGCAGGGGATCCAGCCAGCAGAAACAGAGAATTCCCAGAGGAGGTTTTTAATGTTTAAGGGCCCAATTCATTGGCAGTAGATGAAATGTGGTGATTCCCATGGGTTTCAAAGGGCATTCGGTCAGATTATAATGATTTATTCTGTCTGCTTCAGGAGGTGTGTTGCATTTTGGAGGTCAATCCTACTTTTCCCATAAATAGAGATTGAATAGAGTTCTTTATATGATGTATATTAGAATAAATTTGATCTTATGTAACTCAGAAATACATATCTGGAGAGATTACAATAAGCTGGCTGTCAGGAAAACCTGCAGCTGTATTACTGGCACAGGTGCTTTGAAGTTTAAATTCTTTAGGTCAATGTGATTTCCAGTTTAACCAGGGAAGATGGTCTCAAGCCGTTCTTTTGTGTTTGCATTGTTTTTTCCCCAAGTTTCATGTTCTTTTGGCTTGAATTCCTGCAGCTGAATTTACTTCTTGGATTTTGGTCAACACCAGCGGGATTTTCCTCTCCACGACAATGTCGAGGCTGGGCAGGAATGTGACAGTGTAATCAGCCTGTAAGATCTTCTGGAATGTACTTCTCTTGGGAATGACATCTCCCAACACCCTCAGGTTTTGGCACCATTAAACCTTACTCCTGAGCTAGTTCATCCTCAAAGCTGGCCTTCCACCCAAGTCTGAAACTAGCCTGGCTTGGACTTGTCTCACACTCACTCTCTCCTTCCCTTGCTGGGCTCGGAGAAACCTTTGTCCCTCGTGGGAAAGACTGGTGTGGTTTTGCTGAGCTTTTTATGTTGTGCTAAATTCTTTTCTGGGGAAAGGGGGGAAGGGGAAAATCTCCTTCCTTCCTATTTTTTTGTTACCAATAGCAAAAGTTGATCTACCTTTGTTCTCCACCTGCCATGTGTCCTCCTGCCCTTTTCCTTTACCTGTCCCTGGAGACCATTGTTGGCCACCGGCCAAACCCCCAATCCTTTGTTGGTGGTGTGTTTCCAACAGCTTGGACTAAGCAGAACAAACACTGTTGGTAGTTAACGGCTTAGTCTTTAGTCATTAATTGCTGTGGCTATTGTGCCATTCTGTAAAACAGCCAGAGAGGTGCTTGTTCATGACCGATGCATTGTTAAACAGATGAGTGTTTTCCTTCTGTTTCCCTTTGCAAAATGCCATTCTTATATGTGTGATACAAGCATTGAAGTACACTTATAGCTTTAAAATATTGATTTTTTGGGGGGAAAAATACAGTTTTCATTGACCCCCAGGAGAAAAAAAAAAGGATTTCATATAAGTGAAGCTCATGAGAACTGTCTGTCTGTTTTATAGACTTCTGTGAACGTATTTAGTGTTGTTTTACACAGTGTTTTAACAAGCTTGAAATTAAAGGAAAGCATTGACTCTGTCTACAAAGGAGAGAAAGAGATTAAGAGCTGAACACTGAATTTTCAAGAATTACTAAATCACTGCTTGGGGAGTTCTGGGACACACAACTCAAGAAGCACTTTTTGAAGGGTATGATTTCAACTCACTTTGTCAAGCTGAGTCAGTATTCAGGATGGGAATGGCTTAAGTCTGACTTAAAAGTGAGCTGTTATAGTGAGAAAGGAATATCCTGAGCAACAGAGAAGTGTGCTGTATTTCAGATTGTGCACGTGCTGCTGCAGATTTTTGCTGAGAATTGAAACTCCAGCCGGTTCTTTTTCTTGTGGGGTGTAAGGTTTATGCTTTTGCAGGCTTTGCACTGTCCTAACTGCATAAAATAAAATCTGGTGCAGATCCATGTTTCTGATATCTGATGGTGATATGAGAGATCTCCCTGTCCATATTCTGGTCTCACACAACAGTAGGTCTGGTTTCTGAGATAATTCGAATTTATTGTCCACCCCACAGCCACAGCAAAGATGGGACACCTAGAAATGGATGTAAAAGGGAAAAATGGGTAATTATGTACAGCTATTCACTATGTGAGGATGAAGGGAAATATTTGCTCAAGAATCTGCTGAGTTCAAATAGCAAAGGTGATTCGTGTTCCTAAATGGTTAATCGTGACTTAAAAATACCCATATTGACAGGAACTGCAGGATAAATGTCATTGGAACTTCTTGTTTTTTTAATACACCTTAAGAAATTAAACAAAGCAAATGCATTTGGTGGCGCCCTCAGGAAAAGTCCAGTCACTTCCTGACCAGTAATCTGCCTGGGAGCAGCAGATAGATTCTCATTGTTTGCCGTTTCCAGTTTCCAGTAATGGGAACGATTACTTGATCCAGCCAGTTTCTGTGGAAGATCTGGGATAACTTACAAATTTTCATGGCAAATTTTTATCGGTTTCCATAAAGAGCCAACGGAAAAAAAAGACCATAACGTGGTTTTGGTACCTGGAGGCATCACCTCTGATAATGAATATTGTTTGATTTTGGGGTTAAGTGTCTGTTCTTCAGGAACGAGATGTATCTTGCTCTTCTGGTGATTTTCTTGCAGTGTAAGTTTGATAACTAAGTCTCTGGGTGGGTACCTGTGGTTTTGGTTTGTCTGGGGGTGGGTGGTTTAGGGGAGGCTTTTTAAGTTTCACATTGCTGTCTCTCAATCTGCAAGCTTTGAAAATAACATTTCTTTTTTTTTTCCCCAGTTTCAGAACTCTACACTCAGGATAAAGGTAGGGAATTATAATTTTGGTGGGTGTTTTTTCACATGCGAATTTAAAATAACTCATTTAACTGATTTCTCGGTTGCTGGTGTGCATTTGTAACAGAGTTTATTTGGATTTGCTGTACGATATCTCAGTATGAAATTCGACCATATGAAAAGAAAAGGTATTGCTTGGTGCTGTTTCTTGATACAGTGTTTAAATGAGAGATGTGCTGCTCATATCTTAATAAATGTTTCGGTGAAATCCTTCCTAGAGTAATTTGCTTTCCAGAGGCATAAAAAAGGTGGGAGAGAAAATTAGCATTTTGTTTTAGTATTTAAAAAAGCCTCTCATGCCCACAAACAAGGAGGGAGGATAAAATTATAGCATATGAATTAAGGGCATTTCCTCCTGCTCGTGCAAAGGAATTGGTCAATTGAGCAGAGTTCAGAACTCCTGTTCTAAAGGAACTTTTTACCTTTTCGTCCTGTGACTCCCAGCACGTACACTCCTCATGCTTCCTTTTTTCCATCACCAGGGACAAAGGTTTGCTTCTTGTTGTCATGTGGTTTATTCACATGCAAAAAAAATTGCAATTTTTGCACTGGTTTTATGCCCAAAACTCTCTCCAGCAAGAACACATTATAAATATCTGGTAAATGTACAGGGCAAGGGGCTTCTTTAGATGCAGGGAAGTTTTCCTTCTGATAGCAAATTTCTAATACAAATCCTGACCAAAATGGGCATAACCTAAAACAGTGTAAGTTCTAAAGGAAGGGAAAATCAATGAACTAATAGATCTTTCTCTATACTTTTTCCTCCATCTGTGTGAATAAAAATATTAAGTATACCAGGATTCTAACAGTTACCACCTTTAAGCTACAAATTATTTATCATTGCTGTGGTTATAAACACAGAATATATTTCTAAACACATATACATGTATATATAAGTACTATTATGAACTTTGTTTCTAAATGTGTTTATTGTTTTTGTGTATGAATTATATAAATTACTTTGTATTTAAATTACAATATTCCTATCAAATAAAATGTAAATTTTGTAATTACTTCTTGGGATTAAAGTATAGCAACTTGAGATAACAGTATTATGTTGGACTAACTGAAAATAAATACGATTTTTTTTTCTCTATCCAGTTTTTACTTTCAACACAGTTGAAATCAAGGTTGAGCCATCTGTCAAAGTGAGGAATGGAGCTCCCATGTCAATTATCTGCCACGCTGATATCAGCAAAAGTGCTGATTTCCAGCTGAAGTATAATTTTACGATTTTTAAGGACCACAAGCTCGTGTTTATGACTGTGTCAGACACAGGAGATGCACAGTATGAAGTACCTGTGGCCAAATCTTCAGACACAGGAGACTATCAGTGTACTGTGAAAGCAGATAAAAAGACAAGATCGAGTGACCCCGTCCACGTTTGGGTAACAGGTGAGTGCTCTTTCAAACATGGCAAAAAAACCCCAGCCTTCCAGGGGAAGTAATAATAGTCAGTGCTCAGTAGGATATCTTGCAAAGTGATTTTTATCCATTGGCTCACAGTACTTCACCAGAGTTTAGTACCAAACCCTCATGCTCAGGCACGGAAATGAACTTGTGATCCCAGGGCGACATCAGTGGCAGTCAGGAACAGTCTGTGCCCTCTGTGCCACCTTCCCCGCTGTCCTGAGCCTCTGTTCCCTAGACTAGAGGAAGTATTAGTTGTGAAAGCTTGTGCCTGTTCCCATAAACGTGATGGAGGGTGGGTAGATTCCTGGAAATGCTGGAAATAAGGTACGGAGATGCTCAGCCTGTGACAGCCACTGCCAAAGGAGTGTCAGCTCTGGGCTGCTTTTGCAGACAGTGTTGTGTCAGTCTTATTCTTTCATTTCTGATGAGAACAAGGGCTACCTCCATCCATACTCTTCCTAGCCTTGTGTTCTTGACTGCAAGTGACATTTTTCCCCTTGGAAAAGCAATTTGGAAAGAATTTGTTCAGCGTTAAGTAGGTACCAGGTGGTCTTCAAAAGCTTGGTTCTTGCAAAGTATTTGCATCTGTTAATTAGCATAAATCATTACCACAGTCATCAGGGATGGTGTTTCTTTCAGGATTATGCAATGTTCTATTTCTTTTCTTGCTTTCTGGTGTAAGGAATGACCAAGCCAACCCTGACTGCTGACAAAAGAGATGTTTTGGAGGGTGAAGTTGTGAAGTTACGTTGTGAGCTGCCTGAAGAAGACCCTCCTTTACAATTCTGTTTCCGAAAGATAAAGACGAATTCAACGCCTAGAGAAACATGTGTACCTGAATCTTACACAAATTTTTCTGTACTGGAGGTTTCTGTTGAAGAAGGAGATAATATTTTACAATTTGATTGTTTTGGTAGGAGAAATGTAAAACTTGAATGGGAAGACTCAGCACACAGCAACAAAACCCTCGTTACAGTCAGGGGTGAGTTGCTTGGCTTTTCTTTTGACATTTGTTTGCTTGCTACAGTTAAAATTGGGCCATGTATTTATAGTTACATATGTTTATCTGCATGTTGATATGTATTCTCTTGCAGAACCATTTATAAAGCCCACTCTGACCACCGTGCCCTCAAGTAATAATGTTACAGAAGGAGACCAAATACAATTTGAATGCTCAACTGTAGTAGTTGAAATGCGTGACATTGAAATCATCCTCCAGAAAAACAAATCAATACTGAACAGTGTACAAGATAAGAAACTTCTGAGATACTCCACAGTAGCTACTCTAGAGGACAGTGGTGAATACCTGTGTAAGGTGGAGCAAGGGGGAGCATCTAAAACCACCAAACTGAATGTTGTCGTGTCAGGTAAAACCTCTGTTCATCTTAGATTTTACTCCGCGTATTGATATTTAAATTTAAATTTGGTAGAACTCAAGATCCAAGTGTAACCTCCAGATCTAAGTGTAAATTTTCTCTAAGTTAAAAGGCTATTTGGATTTTAGTTTCTGATTTTTTCCTACCAATACTCCCCAACTAAAATAATGTCCTCAAATAATACATGAAAAGTGGTTTCAAGTGGTTGCTGAGTTTCTGTTTTCCCTGAAAATATAATAATATTAAAATAACATGGTTTTTTCGTTCCCAGATTATAAACTTTCAGTATGTCCTTCATTCTGTATATGTTGAGATAAGCAGTCCTGTTCTTTCAGGCTCAATTGGAATGAATTAGTTCTCTTTTTATCTTGCAGAGTTATTTCCCAAGCCAACACTGGTTGCTTCTATGACTAAGCTGGATAAGAATAAAGAATTAATTTTGAATTGCAGCATTAATGGTTTTCAGACAGCTAACTTCTCTATCATACGGAAAAACGCCAATGGAGACATCCCACTGAAAAATTCTCAAACCTTAAAAATGAGAGTTAATGTGAATGATACTGGATCTTATACCTGTAAAGCTGAAGTAAAAGGAATAGTCAAGGAGAGCAAACCTGTAAGGATAAATGTTTATGGTGAGTTGATACAGAGGCTTAGAACCCAATGAGATGGGGGGGGAATCTAAACCAGAAGCTTACAAATAAGCACATCTATTTACAGAATCGGCCTCTAGTCAATGAACTAGGGTGTCTCTTAGTTCTTGCAATATTAATTTCTGTGAGATGTGCTTGTCATCTTCAGCTGTAGAGGATTTGGTGTGTCATGATCTAATCAAGTCAGACTTTTCCAGGGCTGGCCCTGGGAGAAGGGAGTTGGCATGGCTTCCTGCTGCTCCCTTGGTTCTGCTGGGTGCCAGATAAATTTATTCATTACCATTTGCAGGAGCCAGAACTGTTGTGCAAATCTTTCACTCATCCATTTGACCTGAAACTCTGACAGTGTCTGCCTTGGATCCCTCTCCCTGACTCTGCAGGCAGAAATCAGGAGAACCAGAGGTCATCTGGTTAGCTCTGCTCCAGAAAAGCTGATTATTAGCATTCTAGTTCCCTTCCCTCTCATGGAACAATCTCAGGTGGTTCTCCAGTCTGTGAAGGGGATTAACTGGGTTGTGACTCCCTGTGGAACAGAGGGCCCTAATTAGGTGCTGCACGATCCATCTCAGGTCATGCATGCAATGTGACACTTAGTCCTTGGGTCAGAATTAGTTCTGGAGTTTGGATGATCCACAGCTGTGTCACTCAGCCTTTGTTTTCCTTCACATTCCCCCTGCATGCTATTTGATTCAAAGGCACATGTTCTACTACCTACATTATTGATTTGGTCAAGTCCCCCCATTTCTATTCTATCGACGAGGAAGAGCTTCCCAAACTAGCGTGTCCAAACTAGATAAATATCGTGCATTTAAATACTTTCTATAAAATAATATCGTGTCTTTTGGCCTTATGCAGTGCAATTTTCAGCAGTTTTTTTCTTTTATTCCCCTTTTAGCTCCAGTCTCCAAGCCAACTCTTTCCGTTGCCGGCGGTTTGCCGGAGGTGGTGCTGGGGAAGCCTCTGCAGTTGATCTGCCACTCAGTGATGGGGACACCACCGAAAACCTTCAGGTTCTACAAAGGAGATGATGTTGAGAAAATAGTCATTAATGACACATATGCTACGTTTTTGGATGAAAATATTAGACTAAATGACCAAAGAGGATACAGATGTGATGCCAGAAATAATCACTCCAGTGGTGTGAAAACCAGCGATATCCTGAACGTCACAGTAATAGGTAAGTCTGTTCAATTCTTCTTCTTGTCTGGTGTCATATTTAGAAGTTTGAAACTTTAGCAGCAAATGATGGACTAAGCAAAATGGATGTGAAATGTTTACAGATTTTTGCTCACTTGAATTAAAATGGTTGCTGGTCACAGCACAGTAGTTCAGGACCAGAGCAGGTCTATACTTGACCTTTCAAAAAGAAGAGGTAATTTCTCTCTACCAAGGAGTTTTCAGTTTTGTGTCCTGGCTTGAACTCAAATTGTGTTGGTGTTAAAAAGATAAACTTGTGGTTAATAGGCTGGTTTCCCTCTGAGTTTTGGCATTGAGTTGTATATGATTTGAACAGATACATCCAGAATTGTTGGGCTTATTCTGAGTCAGTTGGATTATTGCACAGTGAAGGATGTGCTCCCTGTTCACTGAGCTCCCAAAAAGGGCTTTTAATACAGTACTTGCACTTACCCAGACTCACCTTAAGTTCATCAGTTCCACCATTAACTAACTCTAGAGAGAAGCTGAGTGATAAAAGCTCTAAAGAGGTTTATCCAGGGAGATTTAAAGTCAAGATGGTTTGAAATAACAAGGTACAAATATACAAACACAAAACATAATTTTAATCCATTAACAAGTGGGTATTTCTCTGCTGGAACTAGTGTATCCCACAGCTGTTAGAGCTGTGGTTCAGGATTTATTGTGGCACTGTTTGGAAGTTCTGAATAGTCATGTTTTAGAGCCTGGTGAGCCAATCTTCCACAGTCTACCACTGCTGAGGTGGTGGCTTTGAATTCTCTGTATTCTGTCCTTTCTGTCTGAAGAAGCACTTAAGTTTTCCAGAACAATCCTCTCTGTCATAGGCTCAGTCACAGGAACCCATCCATGTCTTATATCTAAATCTGCTCCCTAATACAAAAAGAACTTTCATAATCAGCATCTTTTCATATCAGATCTGGTTTTCTCCTTCTGCTTCTGTACCAGTGTTGCCTTAATGATTCCTTCTTTACATCTGCCTTGTGTTATCCATGACACTGCCCCAAACACATTTACAATATTTTCAGAGAAATGTTCTGCAGGGATTTTAGCAAAGCAGATGCTTCATATGCCAAACGTTTTGCAAAGCTGCTGACATTCTACAAGCCTTGAATCACAGAGAATATGTGTCCATTTTTCCCCCATGTAGTTACAAGGGCTGATGCTCATCTGCTCCTACACTAGTTCTGTATATGCTAAAATACTTAATTCTTAAACTAGCAAACCTAAAAACTGTATTTTGTGTATGCATATTCTAACAATTTGTGCAAATGCAAACTAACTTCCCTCACTGTGTTTGCCATATTCTGTAACCATTGGAATTTGGGACTGGCTTATGCCCTTGGAGGACTCGATCCATTACCTGCTGATACTGACTGTTGTATATTAAAGGGTACAAGAATACAGTTACCACACAGCATAAAATAGCACAGCTCTAGATAACTATGAAAGCATAAACTGGACCATCATTATTTACACTATGGAACAACTGAGTGTGTTATTTCTGGAAATGAAATAATTCGTAGGCTGAGGCTGGAGTGGCATCCAAAGGATTTTAAGGAAAGTGGCTGACTGACCTCTGTGGAATGGATATAATTTCCTCCTGTGTCTGCTTTGTTTCTTTGTCATGCCCTCTCTATTTCTGGGTGTATAAAAATATTTACTAGAGGATGATGTCTTTCAGAGAGTGTTTGGGAAGATTAATACTGTGCATTCAGTCTCTGTTTAACTAAGCATTAAATCAAGCATTTCTACAGCACAATATTTTAGCATCAAAGTTATTCCAAATAGTGCTAATATTTGCTTTCTTTCTGCCTTCCTCTGTAGTGCCAGTCAGGGATGCCAGCTTGGGCAGTGTTCCATATGGAGAAGTGGAAGATGGCAGTGAGATTGCTTTTCTCTGCTCTGTGAAAGAAGGGTCTTTGCCAATCCTGTTCAGGTTTTTTAAAAAAACTGATAATGAGGTTCTTCTGTTTGAAAAAATTGAACATAGAGACAGAGCCATGTGGCACAAGGAAACAATGAAGAGGCAGGACACGGGGACATATTATTGCGTGGCCTCGAACCGAGCCAACGTGGATGTGAGGAGCCAGCCCATAACCATCAGTGGTGAGTCATTGAACTGCCCACCAGGTCCTCATGATAGGTGAGGTCATCTCATTTGGGATGTTCCTAAGTGTAACTCCCTTATTTGCTTTTGTTCCACCATTGTCAGATGTTGAACAGAGAGGTCCCTTTATAAACAGAGATTGTCCAACTTACAGAGAAAAGTTTAGGGGATGCTCAAAAGCCAAAGGAGCCAGATGCAAATTGAAACCAACCCATTGTTGTGCTAAGGTTTTGGTCACAAAGGAGAGGCTCACTAGTGAACTTTGCATGCAAGTCCCCTCAGAGTTCTTCCCTGGGGTGTAAGAAGGCTGATTTGTAGTAAAATGAAAGGTCAGGAACTGCAGAATTTGGTAATGTTGGCCTATCACAGTAAATACTCTCTTAAACATGTTTTTCTTATTTCCAGTCATCTTGGCAGCTTGGAAGAAAGGAGTCGTTGCTGCATTGGTCCTGATAACCATTGCAGGAGCGGGAGCACTTGCCTTATGGTGGTTTTTGCGTAAGAAGAAAAAGGGTAAGGAATGGTTCCCTTCTCTTTGTTTGGCGACAAATGTTTTCCAGTTAAACCTGCATTTGTGTCAGAAGCAAAGGGTTGTGGGGGTGAGGCTTCAGAGATGACTGAACACAATTAAAAAAACCCTAAAAATCTGCTTAGAAATGCCAGGTGACCCAAACTAAGCTGCAAATGTGCTGAGGCTTTCCAAGTACATTGGGCAGATGCAGTCCTAGGTCTGGAATCCAGCCCTGTGCAATGAAGAGGCAGACAGGGCCTGAGGAGGCTTTTGATCCCTCATAGAGCTATAACAATTTGATTTGGAGTCCCAGCTCAGGTGTAATTGAGGTGCCTCTCTAGTCCTCATGAAATAAATTTAGATTATTAGGTTGTGGGGTTGTTTCTTTTTCCTTCCCACACTGTAATATGATTTTGTTTAGGGATTTCACTTTTAAGGTATTTTTTCAGATCCTGTTCTTTCAGAATACAAGTAAATCTGGTTTATCCTGTGATATGCAGTATATTGCAAATTATTTGGGAAAATTTGAAGCATCTGGATGTCCAAACTGCTTAAATTGGCCAAGGTAAAATCTGGGGTTTAGGATCTTAGGTTATCTGAAGGAGACATTTAAGGGACCTCAGAGATAAACAGGACATAATGTGTGAGGTAGTTAATTTTGTGATCGCCAGGAGAAATTATTCACACATGAGTAAATAATTGCTATATTTTTGTTTTGATCTTTACTTTCAAATTCTTTACTTGTGCAATCTACTAATAGATGCTTTTTTTTTTTCCTCTGTCAAGCTAAAGGACCATCCATGGAGATGTCTGGGTAAGATGTCTTACTGTCTTGGTTTCGGCTGGGATAATTTTCTTCTTAGTAGCTGGTACAGTGCTGAGTTTTGGATTTACTGTGAGAATAATGTTGATAACACTGATGTTTTAGTTGCTAGTGCTTACTTTAACCCAAGGACGTTTCAGTTTCCCATGCTCTGCCCATGAGCAGGTGCACAAGCAGCCAGGAGGGAGCATGGCCAGGACTGTTGACCCAAACTGGCCAAAGGGACATTCCACACCATAGAGCATCATGGCCAGTGTAGACACTGGGGGGAATTGTCTGGGAGACACTGATCAGTGCTGGAGGGTGGGCTGGGCATCGGGCACAGGGTGGTCAGCAATTGTAGTGGGCATCACTTGTTTCTCTTGCGTTTTATTCCTCTCTCTCTTCCTTTATTATTATTGTGGATATTGTTGTTGTTATTATTATATTTTACTTTATTTCAATCATTAAACTGTTCTTATCTCAACCCATGGGTTTTACCTTTTTCCAGTCCTCTTCCCCATCCCACTGGGGGCGGGATGGGTTGGGGCAGAGTGAGTGAGGTGTTGTGTGGTGCTCAGTTGCCAGCTGGGGTTAAACCATGACAGTCCTTTTTGAAGTCCAGAGTGGGACCCAGAGTTAAAACGAGATCTGACCAGTGCACGTTGAAACAAATTTGTTACAAGCATTCATCAGAGTTTAATAGCCAGTTACCATGATGTTGATTTATTTGCTCTTAGAGTTGTTGTGCTTGTTCTCGGAGCTGTATCCGAACACCTCACTTGCACTTTCAGGGAACACTGTACTCCCTGTTGTGTTTCTTGCCATTGGGGCCTGGGCTGAGCTTATTGTTTTGTTCTGCTTTGTAACACTGATTTATGATACGATGGAATCGCTGGTCATCACTCACCTGATCGTGTCCTCAGCGCCACCGTCACCTGTGTGCTGGGGAGACACCTATTGGGAATTATCCATAATTACACTTTTCCCTTTCTCCTCGGAGAGCCAGTCTGTGGACACAGCTTCCCACAGCTTCCCTTTCTTCTCCAGGCTAATTACAAAAGCATTTGAGAATTGTGAAGATTTTGAATCGACTTGGGGTGTTGGAACCAGTGTGGTCCTATTGGTAGGAACCAGCATGTGGTTCAGGTCTGTTTAGGGTTGAGCAATTATTTGCAGCTACTCCAACCCTTGTGACAGACACTGGGGCTGCTCCAACTCCCACAACAATCACAGTGGCCATGACAGACACTGTGGCTACTCGATCCCTGGCTACTCAAAGCCTGTGAGTACTCACCCACTGATGGGTGATGCAGCTGAATCAGAGGACCAACCCCTGTGTGTGCCAGTTGCCCCTATTCCCAAGGAGAAATGGGCAGGAAAGAGAGCTTGTTTAATAAAGGAGGACGAAGCGGGGCCATAACAGGAACAGGAGGAAGAGACAGAACAAGAAGCAACCCCTCAATCCATATCTCTGAGTGAGCTGTGGGATATGCAGAAAGATTTCAACCATCATCCAGGTGAGCACATTATTCCCTGGCTGCTCTGATGCTGGGATAATGGGACTAGTGGTGTGGAATTAGAAGGTAGGGAAGCCAAGCAGCTGGGATCATTTTCTAGGGAAAGGTGCATTGACAAGGTGATTGGAAGAGCAACACAAGTCCTCAGCCTCTGGAGGCAACTCTTGTCAAGTGTGAAGGAAAGGTATCCCTTCAAGGAAGATGTTCTGTGTCACCCAGGCAAGTGGACCATGATGGAGAGAGGTACCCAGTACCTGAGGGAATTACAGATAATTTATTGTGACCCAAACAACACAGGGTTACTCAGAGATCCCGGTGAAGTCTGATGTGCACAAACCATGTGTCAGAAACTTGTCCAGAGTGCACCATTGTCATACACCAACTCACTGGCAGTGATGGCCTGGAGAGACAAAGAGGCACCACTGGTGGATGAAGTGCCTTCACCAACCCAGCAGCACAGAGAAAATCTCTCTTCCTCCCTTGTCTCTGCTGTGGAGAAGCTGGTTGAGCAACTCAAAGCGGGTAGATTCTAATCCCACATGTACAGGCCAGTATCTCAGCTATTAACAGTAAGTGTCCTTTTGCTCCAGAGAGAGAATGCAGAGGGTTCACACCACAGGGGACTCTGTGGTTTTACCTGTGAGGACCCCAGAGAGGACGTGAGGAAGCAGGATGGAAATTCTACCTGGACCCTAGAGAGTACATGGATTGCAAGGGAAAATCACAAATGGGGGTTCTTCCAGGGAAGTTGCTGTTCTGGTCTGCAATGGGCAGTTCCTCAGAGTGGAAGGGCTGATCTTACTCCTGACTCTATGGAAGGGAATTCTAACCTGTTTTTACAAGAAGCAAATGGATAATCCTATGACCAGGACTAGAGGGGCTCTGCCTCCACCAGGTGGAGAAGAGGGACAGCCTTGTTTGCTGGAGCACGTGGATCAGATGCCTGGAACATCAGCCCCCCAGGAGTATAAGGCTCTAGCAGGTACTGGTGCACAGTGTGCCCTGATGCCATGAGGCTGTCCAGGGGCAGAACCCAGTTGTATTTCTGGAGAGGGATCCCAACAGACTGTACTGGGGGCTGAAATCAGCCTGACTGGGAACGTGTGGCAGAAAGCTCCCATTTGAGTAGCCCAGAGGCTCCAGGGGCTTTAACTGTCTCGGGAGAGGGGATTTCAAGGAGCCAAAGGAGTAGTGGTGGGCTTTCAGTACAGCAGCCTTGGAGACAGAGGAAATGAAGTACCTCCCCTGTCCCGTGTCTCAGAGGACCCTCCTGTTGTGGGGCTGCTGAAGGTTGAAGGACAGCAGGTGCTGAGCCCTGTGACAACGACGCACCGGGGCGGTGCTGTCGCTGCTCGGGGACTGGCTGGGCATCACTTGTTTTTCTTGGGTTTTATTCCTCTCTCTCTATCCTTTTCATTCTATTATTATTATTAACTTTATTTCAGTTAGTTATTAAATTGTTCTTATCTCAGCCCATGGGTTTTACCTTTTTCCAGTCCTCCTCCCCATCCCACAGGCAGGGGAGCGGAGTGAGCGAGCAGCCGTGTGATACTGAGCTGCCATCTGGGATTAAACCACGACCTGTTATAATAATGATGAAGTATTTCTGTTTAAAGGCCTTCCTCCATATGAGTGTAGTTCATTATGGCACACACCTGCAGACAATAGATGGTTCTGCCTCATGTACCACCTGCTTACACAACAACAGGATGAGGAAATACTCTAAAAATAGAAAAAAAGGCCAGCTAAGTGAAATAGGAGAATGTCAGGCCTGTGTTTGAATGCATTTAGACATGGAATGGATTGAAAATACAGAGGTTTAAAGAAGAATAATGCAATAGGGAACATTTTTTGCCTTAAATTTGGTTGGTGCTTCTCTTAAAGACAAAGGCAAAATTTTCAATAGCTTCAGTAGTTAAAAATACATGGCAGTCAGCATAGACAGTGACTGATCTTTGCACAGAATCATGTTATTGACTGATTTGGGATAATTACATCAACTTTTATTGGTTTGTTTTTCAGTTCAGCCTTGGCTGCAAACTTGACAAGTGAAAAACTGGCAAGACAGCCCAATGATGGAGACTATTATTCAGGTAGGACATTTTGCTGTAAGACTGCTAATAAATTGGGTAAATTAAACATTTTTTGAAAGTTTTGGACTTGCATAGTTGTTGTTTGGATAAGGCCCAATTTTTAGGGGAATACAGAGGGATACCAATAACATTCTCCAAAGTATCTTCTGTCATTTTGTCTTTGTACAGTTTTTATGAGCACGTCTCACACAAAGATTGGTTTATAACTCTGCTCAGACACTTCTCCCAGGCAATCAGTTGACAGTATTACAGATGGAGAAATCATGGTAAAAGAAAATTACTTTCTGGGTTTGACACAGCTGCAAGAAAATTATTGCAGAGAGGAAAATTGGAGTTGTGGCACATGGTCCTGTGATGTGGCCACAGGACAGAGGTGTTAACTTGCCATGACTGGGCACATTTCATTCCAGGATCTCAAAATTCCCACTTTACCAAAATAGGTGGAGATGTTGTTTAGAGTATTGGACATAAACAAAATTACCCCTTGGGTGCTTTTTAGCTGATTATTTAAAAAGCCACATTCTTCCCACCTGTGTTATTTGAATGTCTTAGGTGTGAAACCAAAAGTGCAATGTCTCATATAAAAATACTGATAATGACAATAGGAATTGCAGCTGTGTGACTCATTTATTTAATTGGCCTCAATAAACATTTTGTCAGCTCAACTTTGGCTTTAATATTTTAGGATCAGGTTACATTGAAGATAGTGAAAATCACATGAAATCAACAGATGAGAGTAAAGGTAATTTCATACTTAAACAATAGATTTTTAAACTATTTTATAACTGAAAGTCATGATGTTTTCTAATGGTAGCAACAAGGATTGGATATGTCCAGCCCTTTCCTTTTTCTCTTTGATAGTGGGGAAGATTTTCCTTTGCTGAGCTCAGTTCTTTTTCTTATGCACAAAATGACACTGATAGGACCCACTTGCCAACCTGCATTATGAAGTGTAATTAGTTGTGCTGGATTGGTATAAAAATACAACTTAGACTCAAAATTGTAAGTTCTGTATAACAAATATTTAGATATTTTCTACAGATTTCTGCTTCTTTTACTTCTCTGTCCTTTCTTCATTTTGGTTGACCTTGAAATTCTTAAGCGTTAAATCTAAAAATAAACTGTGAAATCTGAATAAAATAATCTGCCAAGTCAGTTCTGCAGGATGCCAGTCTGGATGACTGTCGTGGTTTCTTCCAACTTTTACAGAAATCTGGTGGAAAACCATCTCCACCCTAAGAAAAAAACAGAGTAGAAGGCAGCAGCTGTTTCTTGTGTCTGTTGTGTCCAGGTAGTCAGGACTTGTCAGGCAGCAGCCTTAGTAGATCCAGCTTTCTGTGGGCATTGTGGCAGAGAAGCATCTTGAGGAGGAAGATTAGTTGCATTCCAGATGTTCTATGGAGTGCTTGGAAGAAAATGTAGGAGGAAAAAAGAAAAGCAGAAATTTGGAGAATGAGAGGTGATAAGGGAGGCCAGGAAAGACTTAAAGATGAGTTTAAATGTAAGGAAAGAATGGGAAGTGTCCTGCCATAGCCACAGAAAACAAGGAGAAAGTAAGAGCAGGGAGAGAAATAAAGAGGAGCTGGAGGAGGAATATGGGAGAATCTGAGATAATTCCTTGCTCCATTTGTGTTGTGATACTTTTGAAGGTGTTACATTGAAAGTAAGAGTTTTAGGCACAATTTGCATGTCCCCCAGTTTCAGAAATCTGCCTTTAGCTCGTCTACTGCCCTTTGGATTGGGATGACCCTTAGGAATGGGTTGGCCTTGAAACTCTTAGCAGAGTAACTCACATCTGTAAGTAGGGCCTGATCCTGCACCTACCAAAGTCAGTGAGGACTTGTCCATTAATTCCAGTGGCAGCAGGATCAGGCCCACAGCTCAAACAAAGCGTGCAGTCCTACAAAGAAACATCTTCTTGATATTTTTGGGGCAGGACCTGACCTTGAGAGTGCTGAGGTGGAGTACACTGAAGTTGAAGTATCAACGCTTGATCCTCACAGAGGTAATAAACTGTCCAAACCTCTTCGGTTTATGTTTGGGAGCAGCTCTGGGAATGTTGCTCCTCCCTGGCACTGGTCTGATATTGGCACCTGGGAGTGTCAGAGCAGGTTGTGCTTTGTGTGTGACAGTTTCCTGCCAGTGGCTCCTTAACCCAGCTGGTGATGCCAACCATGCTGCTGTTCCTGCAGCCCTCCTGCCCCTGGGATCCTCCCATTCCCACCCACAGGAGGTCTGTGTGGAGCTGTGGCTCTGAGCAGAAGGCAGCCTGCTGTGAATATCCCTGTTATAGAGCCCAGGTTCACTGAGAGCCACGTGAGGTTAGCCCCAGATAATGGAGAGAACAGAGAGCAGTGGAATTTCCTCCTTTATAAAGGAACTGGTTGAAGGGTCAAAGCTGTGATTCACTTGTGATAGAGAAGGAAGAGAGTCCAGCACAGATTTAGTCTCTCAGTCTGGAGAGGCCTGGAGACCATCCTGAATTTTGTGTCCCCTTAAACAGAGAAATGAGGATATTAATGCCCAAATAACTTGATCCTCCTCCCTGCAGTTCTGTGGTTACAGTAACCACACCTCAGGTACATGTCTCTGCAACCTTGAAGGAGAAATATCCAAGTTAATTTATTCCCAACACCCAAATGCACACTGCAATCATTCTGTGTCATCTGGAGAACTCTGATACCGTCATGGCCTTGTGTTGAAAGCTGTTAAACCTCCAAGTTCCAAGTAGCTGGGAGGGAATAAGCCCCACCAGACAGGTTTATGCTCTGCTCCAGCTTCTTTGCTTCAGCTGAACGAGAAGCAGACTGAGGAAGAAACAGATGAATTTCCTTTTTCCTGGTAGGAAGGACTAGTCACTGATTTCAGGGACCAAATACATGTTTGTTTAGTTGGTAAAACAGATGTTTGGGCAAAAGTGCTCACCCTTCAAGCTGTCCCCGAACAGCCAGTCCTCCTCTCCTTTCTCTCACTTCCTGACATCATTCATCACAGAGTTTTCCTTGTGTCCTAAGCATGCTATTTATCCACCTCTGCTAAATTCTGCTCTGAAGAACCATAGTTGTTGGACTCTTTTTCAGAATAGGCCTAATAATTAGTTGTTCCAGCTGTGTTAGAATGTGCACTACACAATACAGTGGTGTAGAATGAGAAGATACGATGGTGCATGATTATTTAAATTAAAAGCCCTGTTAAATGCAAGATCAGCATCTCTAAGAGTAGACTTTTGCTCCCGTTATTTATATATAACACTATTCCTGTATATCAGACTGAGTAATAAGATAGTATCTGTGCTCTGTAGACTGAACACTATTAAACCATAAAATAATATTTAATATACCGTGTAAATGAGATCAGATTATTTTAACAGAACACTGATTGATTCTGTAAGACTGAACCGTGCTTCAGGTATACAGAGATGTGATAATAGTTCCCTAATCGATTTGCTTTGTTGCCCCAGGGCACAGTTAAATGCTTCCCAAATGAATGCTTTGGTTATGTAAATGGACTGCAAGTATTTAATGTGTTAGTCTTTGAGAGCATCTCGAGGATGCTGCTTGAATAGAAGGAGCTGTATGAAGCCATGTTAATCCTTTCAGCTCTGCACTGCCTATCACAATGAAAACAGGATGAGATTTATTCTTGGGAAAAGAGAAACAAAGCCAAGTTTCTTAATATTCCCTTGTAATAATCGTGTACACCCACAGAGAGAATTTGGCCACGGGACTGCCACTGATATTTCTGCTACATTGGTGTTATTGTAAAGTTTTGTTTCAAAGCATAATATTCTTTCATGTCTGTCTGTGGGTATGACCAACCCTTCCTAGGGAACAGACCTTTAAGATTATCCCCTTGCTCCAAACCTCTGTTACACCCCTTTTGGTTCCTCCTATTTTCTGAATGAAGACAAAGCAAATCACACCTTTTCTCTGGGCACACATATCTCATCCAGCAGCTGCACAGAGCATCTGACCCCTTCAGCCTTTTGAGGAACTCCAGATTTCTTTGATCTCTCAGGACTAACCTCAAATTAATTTATCTTCCCAATCATTTGTTCCTCCTGCCACTGTTGTCCATGTCAGTACTAATGTTCATCTCAGGAGCAGGAGAATCATATTTTGTGTATTGTGAAAGACTACTGCAATTGATGCTGCAGTATCTAAATTGTAACTCCAGCCTTTATATCACTTTTGGGAAGCAGGAACAGTTGAATGTCACCTCAAAACAAGTTTAAATTATTGTAGAAGGATGTATATCTTGTCTTTGTCAGTAGAGAATTGCTTACATTTGAAACCACTGGTTTCACCCTGGTTTTCCAGTCATGTCTGCACTAGTTGGTCATTTCTGGAATACTTTTTAACACAGTGTAATGGTGAATAGGTTAATGCACCAAGAACTTCATATGCACTGTGCTTCTGCAGGATCAAAAACCAGGGTTCATTACAGTGTTACTGGCAGGGAGTGGCCCTGTCACGTGCTAGAAGTAAAATTTCACTGCTTTATTTTAGAACTTCCATGTGGGAATAACTTGATACCTGCTTTTTGAAGTAGGGATGAAAAGGCAAGAGAAATAGGAGGTAGAGCTGGGGCTACACAGTCCAGCTCTTATTTGGGATAGCCAGAGTGGAATGGTAATTTGATATTTAAAGAGGTGGTAATTCTGAGGAATGATTACATTGAATACTTATGGAGATTATATGCTTGACAAAAATATAGTGCTTTTCTTCTCTAAAGCTTAATTGTGCAAATAGATGGAAAGGTGATTTAGACCCCTTATTATTAATCCCAGCAAAAACAAAGGCTGGGGCTAAAGTAAGGTTAGGAAATATCCCTGAAGTGAGAAGGGAGAAACCTCTAATCATGGCTGAGTTAGAACATGCTCCTTCTTTTACTTTTATATCTGGTTAGTTATCTGCAGGGTGGCAACATTATAAAGCTGGTGGGAACAAAATGTCAAATCGTTCAAGTAATTTCTCCTGGCACATTTTTTCAGTGCTGAGACGACTTTTGGAAGATTAACAAAGGAAATAACATGGGCAGTGGCATTATATCACAATTCAATTAAATGGGTCTGGGAAAAAAAAAAGCAAGCTAAGGAAATACCTCCAACCAAATCTTTCCACAGAGTCAATAGGGGTAGATTTAGGACTGTAATCTGCTAAAAAAGAGTCCCAAACAAAATTAAATACCTCTTGTTAAAATTCTGACAAGATTACTCCTTACTTCACTGCAAATGAACTGATCATTTAAGCAGTAACCCATAAGCAGATGAAATGTGCCTGAAGGTCTTCAGATTATTTTGCAAAGAAGGTTCTTGCCAAAGCTGCGAGTTCGAAAGCTGTGATTAAACACTTGGGGAAGTGTAACTCCTCCTGGCATTTGAATTAACAGCAGCTTTGCAACTCAACTCTGATGTGTGAGCTCCCAGCGTTTAAAGGATGCTGAACAGAATTTAAAAAAAAATGAAACTAGCTTTGGGAAATCAGAATGTGGTGCCAGAGACACTTGGGTTCTTCAGAGTGATGCAGAACAGTAACAGTCCTGACTCTGACTGCAGGTCATTGTCTGAATTCTTTAAGTGTTGGGGTGGTTTTTAATAGCTGAAGTACATGTGAATTTTCTTTCCAGTTTCTTGCAGAGAGAGAACAACCACTTTTGTTTTTCTTTAACTGGGAAAAAATCTAACCTCTTGGTTTGTTGAAGGTCCACAGAAATTGGAGGTGATATAGATAGAATTCAGAGGCTTTCTAAGAGATTCAGTTTAACTGAAATGAATGAGTGTTTCTGAAACACTTTTAGATCTATGAACAGCAAGCTACTGGACCCTGCCAGCATAGGCCTTTATAGAAAATGAAGAAAGTTGGTTTTAAATGCACTTTTGTTGCCCAGGGATTTTTAAACTACAGCCATGCAATAAATCCAGGAAATTGTTCTAATCTCCTGCTCGCCTGCAGTTTCTGCTGACCAGAGAGAAACTGAGCTCTTGCTGTTTTCAGGCCTTCAGACGAGGCTCTGCCCCTTCCCTGTGTGTGTCTCTAGTTTGGTATCAAACCCTGTGGATAAGTTCTCACAGATGTCAGGAAAAAAGGAAGAGCTTCTTGCTTTCCTTCTCACCCAAGAGCAGAGTTTTATTTGTCAACCCAAGGGTCTGGAAAGACTAACATTGCACTTGTACCCCAGCTGTGTCCTTAGAGGCACAAACCTTCTCTGTCTGCTTTTTGTCTTTACTTCCATTCTTTCCACCAGCCTTGTGAGCCTTCATTCCTGCTGTGTCCATCTGATCTCAGTGCTCTGGTGGAAGAGCCCTCCATGCTGAGGGGAGACCTTTCCCAGATAACCTTAAATAGAAGCTGTGCAGTGTGAAATCTGAAAATACCCTTCTAAGACATTTCACAAACAGCAATTTAGATTTTTTTCTTTTTTTGTGCCCATAAGACTTAATCAGGCTAGTTGCCAAAAAGGGGGTGTAGTTCATCTTCCAAATGATAGATCACCTCAGGTCTTGGATCCTGAAATCCTTAGAAAAACTTGAAGCAGCTCTTCAAAGGGTTCCAGGGAAACCGTTCTCTAGTGGTAGATGTCTCTGTAAAATTAAAGCAGTATCGATTTGAGTTCAAAGGAGATTATTAAAATGTTAAATTTAGAAGGGGAAGCAGATTTTTATCATCACTTTTATATAGAGGGAGAGACATCTCCCTCTCAGTTCCTTGCAGGCTGGGTTTGGGGAGGGAGTGTACTTGCTTTTTCACACAGACTCCACAGGCTCGTTGCTGCTTGTGTAACTTACTTCCTCTGGAAGTAAAACAGTGTGTTCTGTTGGTTTAAGGAGCTTTTCATAAGGCAAATAATAAGAAAAAATAAGAAAGAAAAAAAGAAAATAAATTGATTCTGTGCCAATACATTTTCCAGCTCCTGTACAGAAGGGGACTGAAACAGTTTATAGTGAAATCAGAAAAGCTAATAATGGTAAGTAAGCTAGTGAAAAATAAAACACTTAAAGGAAGCATTTGTGAGGAGATTAGGGATAAATTTGTGACTGAATATTTTCCAAGACAATATTTATCCTGAATATTTAGAAGATAAAGTGCCATAAAAAAAGAGATGCAAGTCACACAGGAACATACTGAAGTGCAGCTACAAAATCACAGGTGTTGATAGATTGTATAACACCTTCATGGTTCCTCATAAATCAGTGATGCTTAATGCAGTGGGATTAATATTTGTAACATCTACTTCATCAGCCCATCTGTTTTGTACCTGCTCAGCATTTGGGCCATACCTCTGGATCTGAATTAGAGCTGAATCCCCAACCCATTAGGGATTAGGGTGATATATTGTGTTATCTCCAAGTGCTCATGAGCAACACTTTGTCTCTTAATTGAGCATGTTTGTCATGTGTTATGAAATAACCATAAAAAATAGCCATCAAAAACTGTCTCAGACTGTAAGTGCCAGCCACTCTGCCCTTCCACCTCCACTAACCCAGCCTTGTGTGAGGGGGCATTACCAGCTTACTGGCAATTACTGACTATAAATGTTGTGGCAGTCATGAGCTCAGAGGCAGTAGGTTAAAAGCATTTCTTCATAGTTTGTCAAAGACTGAATCAGAAAGGATTTCCTTTCCTCTCTTTGTCTTAGGAAGTCTAGATTTGTAAATATTAGGGCTGCAAAACTGTTCACATCTTGTCCCCATCCATGTTACCAAGTGGCTTTTTTGTCTGCCATTTTTAATTTTTGACTGTTGTGTTTTAATTTTCTATTTTTTTTTCTGTTTTATAAGGGATTTCCCACCTGCTCTGACACAGAATTCTGTCTCTAGGGAATCTTTCATGTGAGGGTCTCCAAGTACTTTAGAAAACATTACTTAATTTTCCCTTGCGAGGAGATACAGGGCAATTTTTATCTCCATTTTACAGCTGAATAAACAGAGAGATTAGGTCATTCATTTAAGGGAACGTGTTTAGAGAGTGACAGCACTGGGAACAGAGTTTCAGAATCCTTGGTGCTGAGCCTGTGTGCTGTACTCATTTTTCACAGTGAAAATCCAAATACCTTTCACACTAAGGTGGGACCAGGCCCTTCATGCAGGATCACCTGGCAGCACCATGAGGAAAAAAAAACCAGTTTATTTTAGGGCTGAACCCAAAGGCCACAAATATTCTGGAACAGTGTGAACTGGACCTGTAACAAGCTGCAGAAGCTGCTGCATAAACCCCCTCCTGCCCTGCCCAGGTGTGAAAGGGATTATCACACCTCTCACCATCCCTGGTTTTGACACAACAGAAGGTGTTATGTCCTAGAAGGGTGTTTTGTGAACTGTGCTGTTAAACTCCAGGTAGGTACAGCAGAGCTGTAATTCAAAGCACTTAAAAGGCTGTAATGCCATAAAGTGGGAACTGCAATAAAGTGAGATATGATTGAAAGGCTGAGCTGAATTAGCCAAATCATCTGCAAGCACCCCTTAATCTTGCAGTCCACCTGCTCTTTTATGCATAACATTCTACAATTTCAGTTATTCTTGGAAACATAGGGCCAGTTTATTGTTTTAATCCCGTCTGTTTTTCCTGACTGATCCACAGGAAAAGTGTTCCAGTGAGATAAGCAGTGCATCCCAGAGCAGTGCAGTGCTCTGGACAGCCACCTTACAGTTCATGTAACATTTCCTTGGACTGGTGATAGGCTGTGTGATTGTGAGGTGGCAAAGGATGAATGCAGTGGAGAATCCCTAGGAAATAGCTCTGTTCTTCAGAAGTACTTTAATTTATATTAATATGAGTATGTTAAATGCCGGTTGTGAAAGATGTTGAACATTACTGCTGGGGGCAGAAGTTGGTTTACCATTCTGATCTTCACCGTGTTTGACTGTTCTTTGAGATTTTTGAGCAAATGCCCACAAGTACAATCTATTTCAGGAAGTCAATGGATCAGACAAACGTGTCCTCTGGGGAAATTACAGGAGTTTGGGAATCGGTGTCAGCCACACTGTTTGGCAGATTTAACACCTAAGGCCTGTGTAACATTTTATTGTTATTTGTTTGTAGGTAACTATTGTGGTTTGGGGTTTTTTAATTAGAATTTAGTGCTTCATAGGCAATCTTAAGGGGTTGTGTGTGCATTCCAGAAATTGTGGCCACTAGAGAGGGAGCTGAAGCACTGTCAGTAGTTGTTATGTCTGATGCAATTCTTTGTGACTGAGCTAAAACATTTCCCCTTTTCATTTTTTCTGGCAGCTCTCCCTGCTATCCCCAGTAAGGCAGATGCCACATCAGTAACAAACTCTTGTATTTTAAGTTCCATAGCTACTGCTTGTCCTTATCCCAATTCATGAATCCATGGTGCAGATAATGCTGAGTATCTGTCATTATTCCTTTTCTTTTTATTCTCCTGCTGCTGGCTGTGTTGTCTTCTGTTACTCTCATTTGAGTGCCTCCATCAAACTATGGTAGACCCCTCATCCTCTCTGCTGTGCTTTCCTTGTTCTGAGTGCCAGGCCTAAGGAGGTGGTTTTACATTAGAGATTAGACAGAAACAAACTGTCAAATGCACATTTCAAATCTCGCAAGACCTGCACATGGTTAACTGCAGTTAACTCATTTGCAGTAGGGAAAGCAGGAAATTTGTGAAATTCAAGTCTAGTCAGGTGTATTTTGATTGAAAATCAAATAATGGTCCTGTAGATAATGTCAGTCTCTAGTTGGATGCTGGGTTTCCTCTGCCGTAATGAGAATTGAAGGAGGGTGCTGATCACTTTGTCTCAGAGATAAGAAATTGTCCTTGCACAGTTATCAAAAGGTTAGTTTAATTCAGTGACATAGTGTTCAGGAAGTTCACCAAGGTATTGATTTAAAGCCTTTTTTAGAGCAATAGGTTGTTACTTTAGTATTTTATGTAAAATACCTAGAGCAGCTTCAAGCCTCGGCTTTAAATCAAACCTTATATCCCCATGGGAATTTGGGGAGTGGTCATAACGAGTGCCAGTCAGGTCAGTAACACCTTTCTCTAAAAGTCTTTTAGATTTACCAGGATAAACTAATTTCCTTAAAATACTGCTTTCTCTGGTTGCTCTATGAAAAGGCCAAAGTTTACTGTGAGCCAGGAATATCCAGCCCAGTCCCGGAGTTGTTGCTTTTTGCTCAAAAAGAACTGAGACAGTCCAAAACTTAAGCAAAACAGGTAATTGCCTAAATCAACAGCCTGCCAAGAATGACAGAATTCTGTGGCCCTGCTGCCCATGTGCCTGTGCTGGAGTCCCAGAGGTGCAGGCTGGCAGCTCTTCCTGAGGGAGGGTCAGGATGTGTCACACACTGAGTGCAGCTCGTGGGTGGAGGCTCTTTTAGACATGATTTATTTCCATCACACCTTTCATCTTCCCAAGGGGCAGTAGGGGCAGGAAGTCCAAGCATCTCCATACTGGTTCTTTATCTCAGCTCCAGCCCTTCCCTCAACACTGATCCCAGTTCTTGGGGTAGCACAGTTCTGTTCCTATTGCTGGGGAGACAAGAGCCAACTCCAGGTCACAGATTTCCTTACATTTTTCCAGGGCACTTCCTGTGACATACTGGGACATTCTTGTTCCTTCAATGAACTCTGTCTTTGCTCTGTGTCAGACCCAAAGCTCACAGAAGCTCTGCACTGCTCTGTGTGTGCACTGAATCGAGCTTATAGTGCTTATTGCAAGATAACAATTCCTAATTTCTTATTAGGAAAGTGGAAATCTAGTGAACAAAATGCAGAGCCAGCCTTTATGCTGCTAAGTGTGGAAAAGTGAACTGGTCACTTGGAAGCAGTTGCAGCAGTGAGACAGGAAATTCAAAGAATCCTACAGCAACCAACAATGTACTATGGAAAAATAAATATATCCCAGTGGAAAGAGGCATGAGAAATCCCCATTGCACTCAGTGGTTTGGAACAAACTATTTGAAATCAGCTCTAGCAATCAGGAAATCTGCTCAAATACTTTCCTGCTCCTGAAGCTCAGGCTTAACACCTCCATGCTTAGCCAGAATTTCCCACTGGGTGCCTTTTCCAGTGTAGAGAAAACTCACAGTGTCTGGGGATTCACTGTGTTGTTCAGAACTCAGGCTTTATGAGCACAGGCAGTCCAAAATTATGGAAAGGACTTGTTCCTTCTCCAAAATAAAAACTCTTTGGATCTTTAGGTTTCTAGACACATTCTAGACCAAAGCCTGGACCTGTGAGACACTGAGTCCAGAGCCAAATGCTCACAACAGCTCCAGCCAAAAAATAGGCAGAACCAGATGGTTTCAGTAAGGCACAAATATGCAGGGAGCTTCTGGCCTTGCTTGAACCTCCAATGCAAAGCTGAATTTCATGCATGCCCTGTGTCAGAGCTGCTCCCAAGCTGCCTGCCAAGATCCTCTGTTAGAAGCTACTGCTCCAGTGAAGGGCTTGGCAGAGTGTAGTGTGTGTGTTCCTGCAGTTCAGCACCTTCAGCTCATGATCTGACAGCTTGGCTTTCACCAGGGTTGGAGATGGGTTTGAGATGGATTAAGAATTGCAGCTATTTAGGCTCATATTCTCTTCTCCATCACCTGTAGCAACAAGAAATGATGGAGTAAGTGGAGATGACAGTGTCTTAAATTCCTGCTATTAATGTACTCCTTTGTAAAAATGTGGCCTTTGAATTTAAAATCCCATCAACTAAAAGCAACAGCAAGGGTTTAAATCTGTCAGAAATCCACAAAAACACCCACCTTTGTTAGACTTGGGAATATTTTAGAAATCATCAGTATCAGACCTTCAGCTCCGAGTCTTTTCACAAAATATGCAGCTGCTTGTTTGCCCTTCTTTGTATATGACTAGAACCCAGCATATCTCCTTTCCCTCTTTTTGGTAGTAAAAGAAAGCCAAGTATAATGAAAAATCTCTCTATTTCATCACAGTAAAATCAGTAAAAAAGTGAAAAAACCTCATTAAAAGAAAAGAAACAGAAAGGCTGTGAAAAGATTGGCACAGCAAAGAATCAGAAAAGCACTGTATCACTGTGCTTTTATTAGTGGCTCCCTGCTGGTTTACCTGGTTGGTGCCTGTTAGAAATCCCCCAGGACACAGATCCTGACATTCTTCTGGCACAGATGTGACACTCAGGGAGGAAGCCACCCTAGTTTGGATCTGGGTGACAGGTAACAAGGAGTTGGAATATCTGTCATTGTGACCCAGAAGCTTTGAGCAGCCAACATCCCGTCGTTTGAAGTTGGGAATTTACACAGAATTTCTCATTTCCTCCTTCCTGTGAGCACAATACACTGTGACAGAACTAAATGACAGCTTGTTAATACCTCACTTCATAAACCTGATGTATAGTTTTGTCCACTTAAAGCCAAGCTTTGATGTAGCACTGGGTCAAGGGTGGTTTTGTTCACTTCTGTTGGCTTTCAGGACACAAAAAGCTTTTATGTGTGTACCATGTAATTTTTAATTTTGTTTCTTGTCAAAATGGCTAAACATATATGGATCAATCTTGCCAAACATTGAGATCAGTTTTGTACTGAAATTTGGTTTGTGCACTGGTACAAGGTGCTGTAGTCACTTCTGTTTTTAATCCTTTGCCTGGACAAATAGTTCTGTGAAGACTTGTCTTGGAGAAAATTCATAATGTGCAGTGCCAGAGACCTTCACCTCTGTTTCCTGGTTACTTCTGCTTAAAAGGGAGTCTCTAAAACACCTTTATAAAGGTCTGGTTATGGCAGTAATACTCTGCATAATATTAATTTAATGATTTCAGAGAACTTTTCAAAATTTACAGAAGTGTGCTGCCTATGGGAGGGCTGATGTTAGTATTTGCTATTTAAAAACTAAATACTTAGAAAAAAACATAGATTCAGACACTATCCCATATTTACAGAAAAAATACTGGCAAGATTAACCCAGAGCCCCAGTCCAAACCCTCTGCTTTGAGCATTAGATGAATTTCCTCCACACAACCTTTCTCCACTGAATTTTATATATTTTCCAAGAAAATACCCTTCAAGATTCAGCACTTACCTTTGTCATGTGTGAAGTATCTTAACAGAAAAGCACTTTCGACAAGACTTGAACTCCTCTCCTAAAACTGGAGTTCCTTTCAGAGGGCAAATATGTATTTATTGAATGTGTTCTGTGAAACTTCTGAACAGCTAAATCCACTTGTTTAAAAAAACCCCTAAGATCTAATCTTAAGGTCACTGACCCTAAATGGAAAGAGCCTGCTGGCTCTCAGGCTTTATTGGGAATGAGCAACTTTTTATTAATAAAATTTCAGGTATCTTTGCAAGATCTTATTTGGCCCTGAAAATTGTATCCTACACCGGATTTCTGCAGTATGTTATTTTCCTGGCAAGGAACTGGATTAGGAAGTATAATGCTCCTGAGAACTTGCCTCTTAAAGGAAGACTCTCTTGTCCAGTAACAGCTCGTACCCTCAGGAGAGACTTCTGCTCTAACCCATAATCAAAAAGCTGTCAAACAGGTCAGTGTGGTCTTTGACATGTCTGGTCTCACCCCTGTACTTGGGTTAAACTAGAGTTTGGATAATCCTTAGGTCCAGAGCTGGGCTTAGTTGTAGGTAGCAATTTTACATCGTTTCAAGGTGAACAAAAAGGTTGAAGAACATAAACCTGCATTTTCTGGAACACAGAACTCTGCAACGTGCCATTTTGTAATTTGTGTGTCGTGTTTTATTTTGCAGATTCTATGGAAAACAGGCATTCTGTAAGTATATGGTTTATCAATTAAATGTGGTGACATTGGATTGAGATTACTGTGTATCTAGTGAGACAATGTTCAAGTGTTGCTGTGGTTTCATTGCTTATTTGTTGCCCAGGACCTTTACAGGACAGCTAAGGGGCAATCTCTTCGTGTATATTCTTACTTAATTAGCCTTTCAGTCCCACATTTATAGAATGATCAGCTCTAAAACCCCTGGGAGGGACTGGTGTTTGGTGGTGCTGGTGCAGGAGGGAGATGGCAAATAACGATCTCCCAGGAATTGGTGTTGAACACCTGCACAGCTCTGGATATGTGCCACAGATATTCCTGCTGGCAGGATGGCACAAGGTTGGCATGGCTGCTGCTTCCTTCAGGTTCCTGATGGACCTGAGGAACTCGAGATTTACATGTGAAAACTGTTGAACTGGTTAATGTGACCCTGGGGACAGAGCTGTTGTTCCAGTTCCGGGGTGTTCAGTGCCGGGTGTTCTCCTCGGGATGTGCCTGTTCACACACACATCCTGTGACTGGGATATCCAAAAAAGGCAGGTCCTTCCTAAGGTGTGAGGAGTCAAACTAAGGAGGAATCACCCCAACCTGCAGAAGTCACTTCACTATTTATGACTGTTTCCTCCTGGATGTGTTTCCATCCACTGGTGCAGCAGGTGGGATGACTCCAAGGGCTGCTGCTAAACTGAGACTGTGTAAGAAATTTTGAAGGCAAACAGGTTTTTATTGCAGAGTACATTGCTGGGTCATGGCTGGGTCAGTTCTGCTGCTCTAACCAAGAACTGAGAATAGTACCATCCATATATGGACCATCTCAGCTAAAAAGCTTTGGAGTTTTGTGAAGGTTCTGTAGGTGGTAAAAAGCTTCATAGTGCTAAGGAGCCAGTGAAAAAATATGGATTTTCTTTAAAAATCCAAGGAATGTCTTGAATGAGCTGTTACTCTGCTCTCAAGAGATCCCAGAGGCAGGGAACTTAACATTTCAGGAGTACTTTTATGAATGTTAGAGAAGCTCTCAAATGCAACCTCAGACTATGCAGAACAGGGGTTTTTTTCTACCATCCACTTTGTGACTTTGGAACTTGTAGTTCAAAAGAAAAAAGGAGAGACCCATAAATAAGAGTCACAATAGCACAGCCTACGTCACCTTATGGCATCCCTGTGAGTTTTGAAAGGCTCCATCAGCACTCCCATCCCACGGGACACACAAGCAGCCCATTGTATTATTTACAGACACTGGCAGTGCACTGAAGGTCACAGATTGCCTTACAATAAACAGACTCATGTTAAAACAGGCCAGGAGGGTTTATAGTATCATTGTCTTTTTTAGTTTAAGGGTTTGTTTTTATTCTTTGCTCTCGATTTTCTAAAAATATGTTGAGCTGAACCCTCCTCTGGGTTGTACCAGGAATTCCTTGCAGAAGAAAGTTTGTCCCTGTCCAACACAATGTTAAAAATGGTCAAGAAAAGGCTGTGACAGACATCAGTGTAAGCTCAAGGAGGAGATTTTGTCTTCTTTTTTCCACAGCCTACCTAATTTATAATGGACACGGGATAAAAGATAGAAGTTTTATGAAGTTTTTTTTTTTGTTCTCTTTTCCTGTGGTCGAAAGTGAGTAAAATCTCTCTCCATGGAACTATAATGGAAAAGTCAGTGAAAATGCACTGGCTACCCTGTAAATAACTTTCATAATTAATTGGGCTATTAAAGCTTGCTAAACCAGACAATCTATGAGGTAATGGTAGATTCAAGGAAGAAGTGTCAGCTGAGGGCAGTGTTTTCTTTGTGTTTCTTTTATTATTCTCCTGTTAACAGTAGAAAAGTAATAAAACTGCTTTGTGAAACTAATCCCATTTTCAGAAACACCCCAAAGAAAAGTCAGTTTTTTAACACTTCACATCTCTACTTGAGGTTTCCTGGAAGTAGCTTTACTCAGTTCACATCTGAGACATTGTCCCCTCCTTTGCTACACTGTTCATGTACTAACATAGTAACTGTTCCTTTTTTTAACATGTATTAGTGCTTTAAAGTACACAGCAAAAAACCAGAGCCCTGTTCTATTCACAAGATAGCCTGTGGCAAAAAGCAGCACCACGTTGGATGGAGAGATGAATTTTGTTATAGATTTTCCATCCCCTCTATCTGCCTCTCACCACTTTTCAGGCAGCACAGAAGAGGCAGGGAACTACTAATGTGCTTTTTATCATTATTTTCTAGAAGCTATTTTTTTCTGTAGCTCATTTTCACACAGTGCTTGACTGTGATGTCTCTCAGAGGTTTGGTCCAAATGAGGGGTTGTTGATCCTACTCATGAAAAGGAAAATGCTTCTTATAAAGTGATCAAGTGGCTTAGACTTCCTCCCCAGCTGTTCTGCTTCTTGATAGTCAAATTAAGTATTTGGCTCAGAGTTGAAGTTGCTTTTAATGTGCTGCTCCCTTACTTTGTGAGTGAAAGGAGGCCTTCAGGTGGTCAGCTGGCATCTTAATCACATGGAATGCCAGATGGATTCCTTAGTATAGTGGCCTGTCAAAAAAACTTGTGGAATTTGACTCTATGTAGGATGTAATAGATGTTCCAGCAGTGTGGGGCAAAGGACACCCCAGCAGAGAGGAGTGTTTTTGTAAGAGCTGTTTTCAGAGATGGGAGGACATGCAGCCTTTTTGTTTCAGTAATGATGGTGGAGGCTCAACATCGGATCCTGATGTCCTTTTTACTCCCTAAAATCAAATAATGCGGATTCCACTGCTCAGATAAAGTCTGTTAACACTCAGTTCTGCATTGCTCTTCCAGAAGTCACGGGCAAAACACTCTTCTCTGTGGAGTAGGAAGATGTAACAAATCATTTTAATGATTGCCAGCCCTGCTTTTGTGCGTTTGCCCCTACACAGTTTCTGCCAGAATAAATATAATCCAGCAGGGAAATCTAGGAAATTTGCTTCATCTTCACTGAGAGACAATCACAAAATTGAGCTCAGGCCTTTAGTAAACACTGTGTACTGACAGCAAGTCTTGTGTTAGGCATTCAAAATGTTTGTGTTATGTCAAGAAAGGTTCTAGAAAAGCAACCAGTTTAAGTTTGAATTACTTGAATTGTGTAAAGGCCCAGCTGCAGTACAAGTTGTGACTGACTTGCAGTCCAGAGTACCTTGAACCTGAATGTCTGGGACTTTTAGGTAATTTAGAAAGGAACCTAAAGTTTTATGTTGGGGGTTGCTTCCCTCCATCTCCTCCGTTTCAGAAATTTGTATCTTAAATGCCATCCATAGGAAGTATTTGCAAAAGAAATGAATTACTTAGAGAGGAACTGGGAGGAGGTTTCCTTCCTGAAATCAGAGCTGGCAATCTTTCTAAGTTATTTAATGGTCCCAGTTTCTGAAAACATATTGAAGGAAATATCTTGACAATGAGATAGCCACTTCGCCAAATCCTAATTGGTATTGTGTCAAATTTACCTCAGCAGAACGTTCTGACTTCATACCTCCTCCTCTCCTGCTCCCTCTTAGCTGTGTGTGTGTGTTTGTGTGATTCTGTCCTGGGGGTGCAGGAGGACTGGCAGCCTTGGCCAGGACATCGTGTACTTTTAGCTGCCTGTTTGCTCAGCCTCAGCGTGTGCCCTCTGAGACAGAAACCTGTACAATTTACATCCATTTGGTGCAATTTTTAGGTGTTATTCAGCTACTTTCTCATCTTGCTTGAGTGATCCCAAAAGTATTTTCTCAGTGGTAAAGGAACTCATGTTGCCAGCACAACACAGCCAGTTCTGAAGGAGGAGCTGGCATGTGTTTAACTGTGCACAGTGACATGGCACAGTAGTTTCAGACAGGAAAGGAAGATGAAGGATGTGTCCATTTAGAATTGGGGGGGAGATTTCAGGCAGTCAGGATATGAAAAACAAGGTGATACTCTGAAATAAACACTGAATTATAAACCAGGAATTCCTGCCTCTGACTCATGGGGCAAATCCTTTGGGGGTAAGTCCACAAAAGGAATGAGGCGCCTCGGTGCTGACAGACTAAACTATTAGGTTAGAGGCCACCATGTACTCTTAGAAATTTCTTGGAGGAAGACTTGCTTTGGCAACCAATGTCAGGAAAGACTTGACAGTTGTGAATCCCCAGTGGACAGAATTATTTCTGTCATATAATGTGAAAACAATGAAGTTTGGGATCTCTCTCTGCCCATTCCCATTGGCTGGACTGCTCCATCTGCACGCTGCCTGTTGTGGTTCCCAGTGCCAGGTTTCTGTCCCTGCTGTGTGCTGGAGATATCCTCTTCCCAGCAGCCAGGCTCTTGGAGGAACATGGTGTCCCAAAGCTGAACACTGCGTTACTCCCTGGGAGACACCAGCCTTAGGAAAAGGTTTTCCTTCTCACAAACTGAAGCTGAGGATCTGATTGTGGCAGCTGAACATCTCCTAGTAAATACGAGATCTGACTTCCAGATGTCTTGAGTGCCAGCAATTCCCTTAAAAATCCAACTTTTAAAAGTAAATACCCGCTTGCAGATGTTGGTGATTAACAGCATTGCAGTCTAGCCTGTAATTGTTGACCTAAATCTCCCACTGTCTTATTTCCTTTTATATCTGATGAAGATAATACTAATATCTCCCCAGGGAACTGTGAATATCTATTAGCTCATTGTGCAGCATTCTAAGGAATATGTTATGGGGCAAGAGGGTAGGGACACATTTATACTCACACCTTGTTTTCTTCTTTTTTGCTCTTGTTGCCAACAGAGAATATCAGGGCATCCTGATGCTACTTAGAACAGTCATCTCAAAGATCAGCTGGGAGAAGAAAACAAGCCAAGATGGAAGATGTTGCAAATGTTTCAAAGGCTCTGCAGCAGTTATTTATGAGTTTGCCAGACTCTTCTTTTCAAAGTTTATTTCCTTAGCGGGAACAATAGAGATGTTCCTAAAGCATTTAATGGAAAAAATTGAGAATAAAAATTCTCATAGGAAAGTGGCTCTAGAAACCACTGACCCAGGTTCTCATTTTTATTTTCTCCTGCTAATGCAATTTTGCCTTTTTTTTTGCCTCCAATTCATCATTCTCTGAGGAAACAAAAGGGGAAGTTAGAGCTGAGGAAGCACATTTCTACAGTGCAGTGACTACTGGGATGCCAGTAGGACATAGAAATATCTAAGCTTGCTTTGAACTTGCTACCTTGGTTATCAGTGACACTTCTGTGGCAGAGCAGAGCTCAGCACAGCTTGGCCAGCCATGGATGTACTTTCTGATCCTGCAGCTTGTGCTGAACTCCCTGTGCTGCAGCAGCTGGACTGCTACCAGGCTTGGAGCCAGCTCACTTATAGCCCTGGGGATGCTTCACTGCAGGGAGGGCCTGACAGAAGAGAGAACTCTGGGTGCTCGAAAAACTTAAATAACTGTTGGGAGATTCAGACTTTACCAAGTGCTTCTGTCAGGAGGGGCACAAATAGTCTTTATTCTTTGCTAAACTGCTTTTCCCCTTTAAAAGGTCTGGTGCTTGTTGGTTAGTTTGGTGTGATGGTTCTTCAAGAAATGATTGTCCATCACAGTTGTTTTGGATGATTCTATGATAGGTCTTCAGGGAGTGGATATACTGCACCCAGGTCAGTGAGTTTATACCTGAAAATCCTGTTATGTATAATCCTTATTCCTTTGATTTTAGGAGCGATCTGAAGTCATACTTGTGCCCAGTTTCTCCAGTATGGAACTCCATACCTAACCTTTTTCTGTATAGCATGATAAACCACTAACATGGATCCAGTCTGGACCTGGATCTAATCTCTGCAGCCCATGTTTATCTCAGCTGCATTAGTTTAAAAAAAGAACATAAAACAAACCAGAAAAAATGCTGTCCCTAGCCCCGTAACCAGCTGGCCTTTGGCACTGCAATTGCTCTCCTTTTCTTACTGCAGATTAAATTACTACAAGATCTGGGCCACAGGTAAGAAAGTTCTCATTTTCATTAGAAAATAGTGAAAGAGAGGCCGTGGATTGTGTATACATACATAGTTACTGCTATAAGCATTGCATCAAGGGTGCAAAACAACCACAAAACACAAAAGGGTTTTATATCCTCATTCCAAGTGTTTAATTTTTCAAGCTCCAGTTACTGGCTAATATCTCTAATTTATTGTTCCCTGTGCAAATGTTGTTTGTATCACAAGCCTGTCACAACTGACTGACTTCACAGCTCTTTCTGTTGACAAATGTTCCTTCAGCATCCCACGAGTGTCCATGCAAATGCCTTAGTATAAGGAATGTGAAAAGGTATTTTAATAAAGAAAACTGAATTGAACCTTGCACTGGATCTTGCACATTCATGTTAGTGACCACTTGCAAAGGAATGCCTGTGATGTTTTTTATTAGTGATGAGCCACACAGATCCATCATATGGATTTGCATATGGAATTGTCATCTCTGCACCAAGTGATTCCAGGCACTCAGAGCTGGAGTTCAGCAGCAGGTAAATACACTAAATTGTTTTAAGAATTCAGTGTGGGAGTTCACATAAGTATTTTACTAAAGTACAAATGTAAAAGCTCCTCCTTCCCAGGCCCTGGCACAGCTCGGGAATGCTCTGGTTTCTGGGAAGTTTCAGAATGTCACTTGGGCATGATGGAGCTGCAGTGGGACAATTCATTGCTCGCTTTCAGCTTGTCTCTTGTCTGGAATAATCCTAAATTATTTTAGATTTAGTCTAATACAAGTTGTTTGCCCTACTGAAACATATCCATTTCTTAGAGTGCTGTGTGCTATCCATTTCTTAGAGTGCTGTGTGCTGCTTAAGCCCTTCTGTTTTGTCTTGCAGATAACAAAAGTAATTCAAAATATGGGACATTAGATCAGCAGATGTCTCCAGTGAAGACAAGGTAAATGGGCCCATGAAGTAAACAGCTACGCAAGGAGACCCAAAGTCCTGATATGAGCACGTGCCAAAAAAAGCCTTATTATCCCATAGGAAACATTTGGGAAGTAAGTCTTGAATCTGGTACTGAAACAGACTGAAGCTCAGATTAGAGCTCAAACAGTACGGGATTGAAAACAACCAAACGAAATTCAGATTTCAACGTTGTCACCGAGTTGAGCTCAGCAAATATAAAATGAGGTGTGTGGGTAAATATTTACTTTCTGAGCAGGGCAAAGGGATGGCACATGCCCAGGCCCTTTGTGCCATGCCATGCCTTGTCCTTTGGGATGGACATCCCCAGGAGCTTTGTGCCCTGCCTTGTCCGAGCAATTCCACCAGCAGCACCACATCCTGCTTCCACCCAGCGTATTCAGGGAAAGCCTTACCCACCACACGGCCTCATTTGGGTAACTTTGGAATATTTCCACTATGATAGAGCTGAGGCTTTAGCGGTGAGACACAGAAATGCTTCAAACAGACTCTTCCTCCTTGCCGCTGTTTGTTTGGGGTTTTTTTTGTTTTGTTTTGTTTTGGTGGGGTTTTTTGTTTGTTTGTTTGTTTTTTCATTTCCAGCCGCGTATTTTCTCGTGCAGAGGGTGCCTCTGTGCTCCTTGGGGGGTGTTTGTGCCGGGCCCGGGGCAGCGCCCTCAGCGCCGCCGCTCCCGCGCTGACCCCTGGTGGCCGCCGGGGGAACGGCGGGTCCCCGCGCCCGGGCGGTGTGAGGGGAAGGCCCCGGTGCTGCGATGGCTTCCCACGCTTTTAATTAATAAATAGACTGAGCCGCTCTTAAAGAAGGTATTAAGCCATTAGAGAGCGTCCAAAGGAGGGCAGCGAAGATGGTGGAGGGCCTCGAGGGGCGGCTGAGGGCACTTGGTGAGTTCAGTCTGGAGGAGACTGAGGGGAGACCTCATTGCAGTTCCAGCTTCCTCGTGAGGGAAGAGGAGGGGCAGGCCCTGAGCTCTGCTCTGTGGGGACAGGGACAGGACCTCAGGGAATGGCCTGGACCTGTGTCAGGGCAGGGTCAGGTTGGATCTCAGGAAAAGATTCTTCCCCCAGAGGTGGTTGGGCACTGACCAGGCTCCCCAGGGCAGTGGGCACAGCACCGAGGCTGCCAGAGCTCAGGGAGCGTTTGGATGATCCTCTCAGGCACAGGGTGTGACTCTTGGGGATGGTCCTGTGCAGGGTTAAGAGTTAGGCTTGATGATCCTTGTGGGCCCCTTCCAGCTCAGCACATTCTGTGATTCTGGGAAGAGTTTCCTAAATGCAGTGTAAACCTCCCAGCCATGGCTCCTTCCCCTCTTCCGTAGGTTAGTGAATTGTTCGTAAATGCTGAGACACTACTTTGAGCAGAGTAAATATCCTGTTCATCGGTGGGTGATAAACCTCACGGTTTATTTACTTTTCTGGGGTGTTATGTGCTTGTTCTACCTGCTGTTTTACGAGATTGGTTCTGTTCAGGTTCTTTATGCTGCAATTCATCCCTAAGCTTGTCTTGCATCATGAGCCCACAGCTTCTGGGGGCAGGGAAGAGAAGAGGACAAGGAACAAGGAAAGGAAAGGACAGGAACAGGGAAAAGAAACAAAGTTTGAGAAAAACAAAGCTATCACATGTAAAACAACACCCCCCTCAGTTAAACTAGAAATCAAACTGAAAGTAATAAAGTATCAGTACAGATTTAAAGTGTTAGCACATTTTGTTATTTAGAATGTCAAGGCCTTTCTAAGTAGGCTGGTGAAAGCAAAATAAGCATCACTTTTGCTGTTATTTGGAAGGTAATAAGCAAGTTGTCATGTCTAAAGAATCACAAAGAACGGGGCTTTATTGCCTTCATGCTTTGAAATGCTCCACTCTAAATCATAAGTCTTCCCATTAGAGAGACTTGCTTAATGTAGCTTGCATGGGAAGCTTCAGCTAAATGTGAGCATTTGTATTTATACAAGTAATTTATTTTCTCACCAGCCACAGACATGCTGAGTGGGAAGGCTGAAAAAATTCTCACCGTTACAGGCAATAATCACTGTAGTTAAATTTTAAATTTAATAGCAAAAGAAATCACAGTTTCCTCGGGGAGGGAGTCACCTGCAAAGCCTGATGACAGAGAAACAGAATAACAGCATGAAGCTGAAATGAAAAGATTTAGCACAAAGCAGCAGAAGCCAAGGCAGCCACTGCAAAGGCACTCGGGCTCTGCCCCATCAATCTGGATCTGCAGGAGCGCTGGACTGTGTGAACTTCTAACGGCGTGTTAGAAATGGACCTCACACAGTTCTGACCACACTCCCAAGGCCAAGAGGAATTCAGATCCAACAGGTATTGTTTGAGGAGAAATCCCACAACTAAACTGTTACTTACGGTAAAGATGGAATCTGCCTCTGAAATGAATAGAGTAGTAATATATTTCTGTGTGATTCTGAAAGCATGAGAGTGGTAGATGAAATCAGGGTCTCCTTTTGAGCAATGAAAATATGACAATTTTTTCACTGAACGAAAACCAGAAGTGACCAGTGCGACAGTTCATATTCCTCTGGTTACTGCCCTGATTTTTCTGTAGTTGTCTGTTTGTTTTAGTGTTTTACTCGGGAGATAAAAGGAGATCCTAAAATGAAGGCTTATTACAGTGAAGGAAAAAAATGAAAATAAGATGAAATGAAAGACAGAGAGGAGTGAGCAGAGCTGGGGGTGAGAAATCCTTCAGACTGTGGAAGGTTTGGGTAGAAACAACCCATCAGTCTGGTCACCTTAACAGATCCACACTTCACGGTGTTGGTGATGCTCTGGGGAATGTGCTGGGACAGAATCAGTGCTGTGGAGGTGGTATGTCACAAACATTCCTGTATTTGTAGTAGCCCTGTGACCACTAAGAGAAGGAGAAAATACACCTGTTAACAAAAAGCCCCGTTGCAGGTAAGGGCACCATCGATCCAAGAAGACAAAGGGTTCATTTTTGGTGCTGTTGGTGTGTCAGTCCTGTGTGGGGACATGGAGTCAGGAGGCACTGAGGGGCCTGTGATACACAGACTGAGATACTGGCACTGGGAATATGTGCTTCAAAAGGAAACATCCCATTACACTGGTATTTAGCTGACAGAACCCAAGCCCCATTCGGTGCTTGCAGAGGAGCTGTGACTGCTGAAATCACCTGTTTTCACAAAGCACTGTCAACACTGCACAGGGAGAGCTAGGCTTTGAATCCTCTGCACTGGCTTCTTGTTTATCCACTGTTTAACTCCAGGCAGAGCCAAGTCTCCACTGTGACTGGCACAGTTTCACTTTGCAAATCAATGAGACAGTGCTACAAGGGCAGAAGAGTCTGGCCTGTGAACGTCCTGTTGCTCAGAGGTGATGAGCTGACAGCCCTGACTGGCTCTGTCCTCGTGGAACTAATCTGTGCCAAACCCTGAGCTCCCCAGGGCTCCCACTGCCCTCCCAGGCTCTTTCCTAGTGGGATCTTCTGGAGTGGCTCAAGCTCCAACCAGCAGTAAACTGTGGAACTGTGTCATCTCCCAAGTGAAATCACCACCTTCCAGCCCCACCTTTTCCTTAGGGAACTCTCTGCCTCGTGTGGGGATAAATGCTTCCAAGGCAGTGCAAATGAGAGCTGCTGGTCTTTCCTCAGGAGCAGAGAGATAGAGAAGTTGACATCAATGGGACAAAGATGAGGGGTTCGTCTTAAATGGGCTGAGTCCTGGTATTACTGGAAGGGGTGAATTTGGTGTCTCTGCTTGATAACAGTCTGTGAGAGTGCAATGGAAGAAAAAATTGTTAGGTCTATTAAGTTGTGGTCAGAGTGTAAGTCAATTAACAAAAATTGCGGCCACCCAGGTTATTAAATTAACATGAGATTGTCAATAGGAAATATAGATTGCTTTTGAATAAATGGTAATGATGAAAATCCCACAGTCTCCCATAATGCAAAGCTTCGTTTTCATTTTATTACTGTTTGAGTTGGTTTTTACATTTTTGTTTCAACTTCATGCTCATTAAAGAACAGGAGATTTAAAGAGCAAGACTTTCATATTTAGGAATGCTGAGAGCTGCAATATCTGTTATGAGGCAGAAGCTGGAGATGAGCTGTGATTCTGCAGAGTGATCCACGGCAGAGCTGGAATCAGGTAAAGCCAAGAGTGTCTGAGTGCAGTCCTTGCTTGCAAAATGCCAGATCCCATTTTCCAGCCACTGCCTGTGCCTGTGTCACCCAGGCAGGGAATCAGGACCTGACAGCCTGGATTGCTTCAGTTGCTTTGGCCAGTGCTTCCCACAGTCAGGTGAAATCCTTCACTGACACTCCCAGAACTCTGATTCTGTGGCCTCCAGATAAGGATTTAGTATTTTGCACTGCCCTGGACTCCTGGAAATGCTGGCATAGAGACAAGGAGAACAGCAGAGA